TCACATCAATTTCTAATGTGCTTTTATTTTATTTTGACTGCTGCAACACAAACAGCTTCAGCATTTGCCATTTGCCACGCCCCCACAACTGTCAACCAAACGCCAACTGGAGTTGTACAGTAAGCCCTCCCTAATACAGCCCATACACCAATGCCCCAGCCACTGTCAGTGCCACTGCCCATGCTTCAATACATTTCTAGTGTCTGTCATGTTTGTTTGCCTGTGTCAAGTACATCAAATGCTTGTCATATATATACATATATATATATATGTGTATATGTATGTATATGTATAAAAACACATCTCTGTCAAGTATATGTGCACGTATATGTATATGTATATAAATTGGCAACATTTGCCCGTCTCAAGTGCCACATTAGCTCCCTCTCTCGCTCCCTCCTTTTCCCACTCACTTCCTCTCTATGTATGCATGTGTGTAGTAGCCTCTGCCCTAGAGCATCTGCTTATTAATTTCGTGTTTCATATTAAATATAGTTATGTTTAATTTGTTTTTATGTTTATTACATTTCATTGTGCAAATAGAAATATTTCTGGCATATGTTTCGGCATGGCTAATCAACAACACGTAGACATTAAAGCAAAGCGAGAAAAACTAACTCAATTAACATGCTGCTCTAGGCACTTACACACACACAGACACTCTCTCTCTCTCTCTCTCTCTCTCTAAGTGCTAGTTGATATGTAAACGCAGCACGACTGACTATGAGTTACCCTCTATATATGTGGGGGCTAGGCTCCTGCATTTATCTCTCCGGGTAATTTTATAGCTCAGTTAAGTTTCGATAAATGTTGGCCCCAACCCCAACCCACTCATGGAATAATAATGGAATAAGAGATGTTTTTCAGTCTCTGCCTGTGTCAGAGGCACAATATGCCCGCTGTCCGGCAGTCGTTGTAGTTAGCTAGTTGGACCTGACAACCGAATAATTGTTTACGCAGCAGCAGCAGCAGCAGCGGGCTGTTCGCCCCTAAACACACACACACACACGCACACAAATGAGGAGCAAAGGCCAAAGGACACGGCATGGAACACGTGAACGAGTGCGAGGCGGATGGAACAGCAGGCTGGCTGGCATATTCAAGTGCTACAGAGCATAACAATAGAACTTTGGAGTGGCAGCACCACTAGCAAACAAATTAATATAGCCAACAGGCTGCAGGAGGCAACATTACACAAAAAAAAAACAACAACAACAGCAACAACAACCTAACTTTATTTATTTGACCAGCAATCAGAGGGCCTCAATGAAGCTGAGCTTAGGCTGGCCCGGACATGCTTACACTTATAAATATTTATGCGCTGCTCTGCAACAGTCTAATCCAATCAACATCAGGCACAAGCAAACAACAACAACAACAACAGCTGCAACCAACAAACAAACAGCAATCATCGATGGGGATAAAAAAGAATCCCAAAAAATACAAATATATTTACCAAGTCAAAAATTGCAGTTATTCCGGCTGCAACCTACCCCCCCTCCGCCTGATGCCCCCACCCCCCTGCCACTATTCACTCAACTGCAATGAATTCGATTTTATGTCTGAGTGCACTGCTACCGCATGACACGTCCCCCGCCGCTCCAACCGCCCCTGAAACAAAACTGAATATGTAAAGCGCTTGAAAGCATTTGCTCGATGCCAAAAATCGAGCGCGAAAATTGTTTAGTGACTTTTGACAAGCAAAACAAACTAGAAAAAAAGCTGAAAATAATAAAAAAAAATTAAGTTTTGATTGCAATTGCCGAGCATGCGAGACTAGCAGATACCCTAGACAGTTGTTTAGATGAGGCAGCTTCAAGTGCATAAGTCTGTATATTTTTAAAGTTTTACCAAACCAAAGAGACAATTCAGTCATTTATAGCTTGCTCCAGCTATAAAGCTGATATCCTCTTACAGTCAACAGCAATTGACCTACATATATTGTTTGTACCCTTTTAGGCACTTAGGTTTCATGTAGGGTATATAAAAAGCAGTCCCAAGGCGCTTGCCGTATGCCATGCCAAAAGCAATATGGCACAGTATCCGGTTTATGTGGACGGGGGACAGACGAACGGACGGAGGAATAGCGCAGCCAAAATAAAAATGGCAATGGTTAGACATAATGCGAGGCAAGCAGACCACTGCATGCCACTTGCCACATGCTGAACGCCTTTCAATAAACGAAATTGCTTGTAGGCCTTGCCACACACACATACACACACAACCACACACACACGCACTCGCACACAGTTGGATGGCCATGACCTTAGGCACATTTTCACACGCGCACAACTTGACAAAAGGCCAGGGACAACAGAAGACAGTGGAGCCAAAGTGGTTCAGCTGGCAGACTTGCAGATGCGCTGCCGCCTAGTAAATATCCATTAAAGACGCTTTGCTGAAAGAACTCCCCCTGCAGGACAGCCGTATTTAAATCTGGCCCAGCAAATGGGCAACATTTTTGTTGGCCCTTTGTGGAGACAGTTAAAAAGCACTATAACCAGGATCGAGCCCAAAGCATCAACTACCATCAAATAGAGCACATAAACGAACACGTACATAACTTCATCAAGTTGGGTCGTGGCAAGGACGCAGCGCTTAGGTCAGTGCCAAAGAGAAACACCCACACACACACACACATGACAATGAAGGCTGAAATTCCTTTATTACATTTTTCACGCCAATAAAAACAAATACAAAACGTCAGCTTGAAGAGCAACACGCAACGCTGAGCAACTCTTAAGTTGCTGCCGCTGTCCGCCTTGGGTTATTTTTGGCAGTTTCCTCTAGCTGCCTTTGGTCACTCACGAAAATTACTAAAATTGTATTTCCGTTTCCGGTTGAAGCGGCGCCAAAGCTGTCGCCAGGCAGTTGCCAGCGCCCGTTATTTATTTCAGCATGTCAGCCCCGAGGTAGGCTGGCTAGGAAAACTGAGGGCCTACTCCGATTTGGTAGCATAATTTATGGCACATCACGCATACGACACGTTGCACACATGCGACCCAATGTGAAAACTAAAAGTGAAAGAAAATAGACGACAACTGACGACAACGACAACAACAACGACAACTTTTTGCTGCCACATGGGCAACATGTAGAAGAAGAGGAGGAGCTCTCGACTCTGCCTTGCACCTTTGGCCACTTTGAATTGCCTCAATTAACAAGACGCCAGCCAAAGGCCAAGAGAATCAGTTAAGAGCCAATCAACGCTGATGGCACTTACGACCGACCCATCAGGATTAATAATTATGGCCAAAAACTGACAGCCGGCTGTCCCAAATGGCAAAAGTTTTTGCCACAGGTAAACATTGAGCTTCTGAAAATCATGAATATCCTGAGTTTTATGTGCATTATGAATATTTAAGTTTTTTGGCGCGGCGTTGCCTGAGCTGACGGGCTTTAACGAGCGCGAGCGGCCAAACTTATAATTTGTCTAATTAAAAGTTTTGGCTCGTTGCAAGCGCTCGGCAGCGGCAAGTGCAAAGGCTGCCACGTGCTACTTGCCACATGCCACATGCCGCATGCCACTTGCCAGTTGCCACTAAGTGATATAAGGCAACGAAACAATTGCCGCAGGATGACAATAAAACTAATCGAGCTGCAATGCATCAGTTGTTGTTTGCGCCACATGTGGCAAATAGCTGTCTGCCACACACGCACACACACACCCGCATATTTTGCAGCACTTCAAAACTTTGCTTGCGGTCAACAAAATTGACTTTAGCTTCAAGTCAAAATGTAAACTTGACTCATATTATTTGTTTATTGCTAAACTTTACGTACGGCGCGCAAACAAAGAGCAAAAGGGACGTAGGCCGCAAGTGAGCCAAGAAAATGCAGTTGACACTTTACATAAAGCCAAATTGGATTAATTATGTCAAGATTTTGATAGTCGATATGAGTATGTGATCAATATCAGAAAATAAACATTATTATTATACGAGCAGCCCATGAATATTTATTTATATTTGCACTGCATATGCTTAATATTATTAATTGCTGGTATAAATGGGCTTATTATTTATTGTTTTTAAACAAAGATAATCAAGGCCTTATTATATTTTTTAAATGGTGAGAGCTTAGAGCTGAGAAAGAAAATTGTTTATGTATATGTATTTGTACACGATAAATGACGAATGGGAACACTCTCTGCTGGCAGCAGTGTTCGAGAGAGAGATACGATTAATCTTGATGAGACTGAGTCAATGCAAACGAATTCACATGCACACACACATGCATAGTCAGATCAAGCTCGCTATTGGTGTATTTGACGACTGCAGCTCTCGTATGCATACATAGACAAATAACCATTCTCTTCGTTTAACTCAACTAAACGATCGGGTCAAGCACAGAGAGGTACCTGTCCGATCGCATACGAAGACGTTGAAGAATCGACGTTTACCGTGTCTCTCCCTGCACGAAGTTCGTTGAAAAAACGTCACATGAACAGTGCTGCCAGCAGAGGGTGCTCCCATTGGTCACTTATAGTCGACAACATTGAGCGCGACTAGTGTATGGGTGAAAGTTGCCCTATATAAAGGGCAGCAGCCGCAGCATCTCTTCAGTTGTCCAGGCCTGGTGGAGGTCAGTCGTGCAGTGCAGTAAAGTGAAGTAAGGTGAAGTGCGTGATCGTTCAGCTAAGCAATAAATACTTGGAGGAAACACTTGGAAGGCAATACTTATAGTCAATACATAGAAGAAATACTTAGAGGAAATACTTACTTCAGTCGTTTTATTAGCCATTAGAGTAATGAATCATACTATAGTACATATACAATATATTATAATTAATTATGTCGATAAGTAGCCATATATACATACATGTATATACATATATAGAGTATATATCAAATTAAATCTCTGCACCACATTAATTCTTTATAAATGAAACTGAACATTTGTGTAAATGTCTTTTTAATACCGTCACGCTTGGGGTCAACGTAAACAAGGCAACATTTTCAATCAGTTAGTTTAGCTTTGGCTCTTTGGCCGAACACAATATGTGGAAATTGTTGATTGGGGTACTCATCGCTTGTACGGCCGTACGGTGTAGTCACTTCAAGTTGAACAATGTGATCTGTCGCTGCTACGACACCGCCTACTGCACGTTCAAGCAGTGCGAGCTGACAATAAGACGCAGGGGCATGGCTGCCTTCAGTATGTACACGGTGCTGCATAAGCGGCCTGTGGACAACATCTACATCAATCTGGAACTGTTCAAGAAGTCGAACGGCTATCGCTCCTACCTGATCAACCAGAGCATCGATTTTTGCTACTACATGCGTAATCCCAAGGCCTACATATTCTTTCACGCCTTTCACAAGACTTTCGTGGCTGTCTCTAACTTCAATCATACGTGTCCCTATGACGTGAGTTCCAGTTAATTCAACTGAGTCCTGCCAATCATTATCATTCTGATTACAGCACGACATTATAATCAATCGATTCATTTACGAGCGGGGCTCCATGATAGATCTGCCCTTACCAAACGGGGAATATATGATCAACGTCAAACTCTCGGTTTCCAAAATTTGGCGTGCAGAACTTAAAATCTTTGTCACACGATCTGATTAACAATAAAATTATACTATAAAAGCAAGTGATTTTTTTTTACATATCCCCAGAGTTCAGTTACTTCAAAAGCTGTGAATTGTTTACCAAAGATAATAAAACCACATTTGATGTGTATGTGGCAGTGCTATATAAGGAACCCGTCGATAGTATTTTTGTAAGTAGCTCGAACTCTTTTGTACGTAATTAAATTTGTTTTAAATTGTGATGGGATTCATTAAAGCTTACTCCGTGCTGCACTAAAATTATGAAAAATGAGAAGGCCAATTTTTGTGAGTTCATGCGTCATTCGTACCCAACGAAATTTTCAAAATTAGCCTCAGTCTTTTTTAAAAAGCGTTCGAATATAAATCACAGCCGATCCTACCAGGTTTGTACCGTACTAAATTCGTTTTATCAACTATAAACATTTTAATTTGTTTTTTTTTTTTTGAAATTTTTCTTCGTGTAAACGTATTCAAGAAATGGAAAGCTGAGGTGCAACTTTTTGCCCGCGTATCTCACTAAAATTAATTTATTTATTTATTTTTAATGTTGTATATATCAACGATTTGCCTTTGAATACTCAACGTTTTTATTTATCGATAAGAAAAATAGTCATTTGCTATTCTCACAAAAGAGTGCTACCAGACTGTTTTATTTAGTGGCAACAATTTCACGTAGCATTAACATTAACAGAAGTCACTCGTTACAGTGCGGCCACTAAGCAGACGAGTCTCCTCTCTAATTTTGAATCGCTCTTTCTTTCAGCGTGAAACATCAAGCCGAACGTATGTTGAAATTGTGGTCTCCTAAATAATTAAAAAATATGGCAAATAATAGCTATTATTATTTGAAATATTGTGCAGTTATATTATCTTAATACCTAAGCAAAACTTATTTATTATAATTTCTTGAAAATATTCACGGATGTCAGTTATACAGTGTGATTAATATCTAACCTCTTATTTTACAGTATCGGTTGAATTGTTGGAATCATGGTTAACGGCCGCATACCCTCGGTCTTCTCGAAGACCTATGTGACTCCACGTCGCCCCTATGAAAAGGCACGTCTGGACCAGGAGTTGAAGATCATTGGCGAATATGGTCTGCGCAACAAGCGCGAAGTGTGGCGCGTCAAATACGCCCTGGCCAAAATCCGTAAGGCTGCCCGTGAGCTGCTGACTTTGGAAGAGAAGGACGAAAAGCGTCTATTCCAGGGTAAGTTGGCAGATGATGCCCCCGTTCAACTGCTACCCATGTCTTGATGATTTGTATTTAAAATATTACTCTGACACCTCTTGGCGGAATACACATTGACGTTAACTAATACATGCTGAAAAAAATCAAATACCATTTGCTAGATTGTTTAGTACTATTTAATATAATAATTTGCACTTTTTCTTTAGGTAACGCTCTGCTGCGTCGTTTAGTGCGCATTGGTGTCTTGGATGAGTCTCGCATGAAGCTCGATTACGTGCTCGGCTTGAAGATTGAGGACTTCTTGGAGCGCCGTCTGCAGACCCAGGTGTTCAAGCTTGGATTGGCCAAGTCCATCCATCATGCACGCGTGTTGATCCGTCAGCGTCACATTCGGTAAATTAACGCCAGGCAACAATTCTAAATGCTAAGAAAATAATGTTCAGTAAGACCACTTGGGAGTCGAACAAGCCAAGAATAAAGCAGAGCTTGCACCGACTCTCAACGTCTTTTGGTCATGTTTGTTGATCACCCAGTTGTTCACACATACCATAATGCAAAGCTACATAGCGTAAGTTGCACTGAACAGTTTGCTCCAACTTGATAGCTCCGAGCTGAGTTAATGCATTTGCCTGTATTAATATTTCTATTTCTTTTTTATGTTAAATAGTGTGCGCAAGCAGGTGGTCAACATTCCATCTTTCGTGGTGCGTCTGGATTCGCAGAAGCACATTGACTTCTCCCTGAAGTCGCCCTTCGGTGGTGGCCGTCCCGGACGTGTCAAGAGGAAGAACTTGAAGAAGAACCAGGGTGGTGGTGCAGCAGCTGCCGAAGAAGAGGAGGACTAAACTGCAAGTCAGTTAATTTTTAATGAAATAAAATGGAATTATTTACAAAATAAATGTAAAGTCCTTAAGAAAAAACAAATACAAGTTTGTATGTACATACATATGTGTGTCCATTTGTGGTGGTGGGTTTTTCGCGTTGCCAGACTATCGAATTAGTCCGAGTATAACACGTGTTTAGTGAGAGCAGCAAGTGTAAAATCGCTTTCGCCAACATACAATGGGAGAGTATACACGTACAGAGTCCAGAGCCTAAACTTGTGACGTCACTTAAATTGAGTCGTGCAGCTCGCTCAAAGCGTTGCCATCGTGTGCTGCATACCATGCGCCGGCAGTCTGTGAGCGGCTTTTGGCGAGTGCAGCTGTGTTTTGGTTTTCATTTGGAGTAGTTGACATTCTAAATTGTGTCATAGTTGTTAGGAATTTAATATTGAAATTAAATAGCAAACTGCTAGCAAATATGCCAAAAGGCGTTGATAAAGTAAAAGTGAACGTGAAGGAACGGGTCGAAGATGAAAACTGTGACCTAAGCCTCTCCGAGCTGACGGAAATACCAGTGCGTGAAATTGTGAGTAAATTATATGCAGAGCCACGATTAAGCACAATAATATCGGCGTATATCGCTAATTATCTTCTGTACTGAGCCGAATTATGACCCCTCTGATACGACGCACAAGTGCAAACAAAGCGCTGGCCGTCTAGCCAGTTGTAGCCTGTCTCGCTCTCGCCAGCACAAACAGTTGAATACGGCGATTGCTGTTGTTGTTGTTGTAGCCTGGATGCCTAGTGCTGCCGGCTGGTTTGCAATTAACGCTGACGTTGACTGCATTGCATTTACACTTGAGAGCGCTGCATAAGGAAGATGCATGTGTATGTGTGCGTGTATATGAATGTGTGTGTGTGCTGCCGAAATTGCTTCAGGGGGTTGATTTTTGTGATTTGGCAGCGCAGCTACCACCCCTCGGACACTGAGTGGCACGGGAAAGTTGCCAAATATTGTATTCTACTGTTGTTTTCGGGGGTTTCTTTTTTGGTTGTTGAACTTCCTGTTTAAAATTCAACTCATTCAGTTCATATTTTTCCTTCGCAGGCTTCGTTCAAGCGGGTTGTCTTCCTGGACCTCTCCAGCAACCGGCTGGCCACACTCGGCGTACGTATGAAAAACAAAGAAAATATATACATAAGCACATTAGTTAATTAGCATATGTTTACTGATCCATAGCACAACTTCACCACGCTCACGCGGCTAATCAAGCTGGATCTGAGCAAGAATCAAATTCGTTTTCTGCCCGAAGACTTTGGCCAACTGGAACATCTGCGTCACTTGGACTTATACGACAATTGCTTGGAGCATTTACCATTGAGCTTTGGTCGATTGCGTTGCTTGCGCTATTTAGACTTGAAGGGCAATCCCTTGACGCCCGCCTGGCAGAAAATTGTTGGCTGCTGTTCCACATTGAAGGACTGCCAACAGGCGGCCAAGAATACTGTAAGACAAGTGGCACTTCAGTTGAGTGGCCTTTTATGTACAATTTGCTCACATTTTGCAGGTGAACATTTGTGCAAACTACAAGTCCGAATTCATTGAACGTGAACGTTTAGCCGCCCAAATGCGCCAAGCGAGCTCTTCACAATTGGCTGGGTCCGGCGATGGGGACGCCAGCTCCACGTCCAACCAGAGCACAAAGGCCAATGGCGGCGAAGCATCCAAAAAGACCGGCAAAGCCAATAAAAAGTCAAAGTCAAAGAAATCGGGGGCCCCAACTGAAAACGAGCTCACAATCAAACCAGTTAATGCCGGTCCCATCAAATCCACAACCAATCAAAAGAACAATCAAAAGAAAAAGTCCACCAGTAGCAGTAAAAGGAGAGGGTGGCTCAAAACCCTATCGGGTGTTGCTTTCTCATCGCTGATGACATTTCTGTTGCTCTTCATGATCAATGTACTCATCATTTATATGATTATGTTCAAGAATCCGGACATTGCGGATAAGCTGGTGGAGTATATTCCGCATCAATATCGCGACTGGATACTGACCAAAACGGAAATCTTTCGATTGCGCGTCACCGACTGGATCTCAGAGTTTCGCACTCCGCCAGAGGAGCACTGACGATTCATTTATTTGAAGCCTTAGAGCGCGGGGTTTCAAATAGGTTAACAGTCAATGAAAATCGGATGCATAGCGCGTGTGTGGGAAAGATTGACAATTTTGATCGAGTGGAGAGACCAATGCAACAAAACTGAAAGACCCCAATGTACTGCCATATATTTGTATATTTAAGTATTTACGTCCATTGGCAAGAAATTTTTACCTCACATACAAAAACACACACACACACACATAGAGCATCAGAGCTAAATAATATATATGCAATGTAAACTACTCTCAATCAATATCACTTCTAACTAACATTTACAATAGATCAAACAGAAACTCAATAGTAACTGAAAGACAGTTCCAAACTGGCAAACACACTCATAGAAACTACAGACACAGTCAGCGTGCTTCACACGGCTATAAAACACTTATCTATGTACCAGATTCTTAATATCTATGTAAGAATTTCTTGTGCAATTTACAAATCTTTTTATTAGTTTTGTTTAAATCCCAGTTCAAGTAAGGATTATGATTTTATGCTAACAGATTTAAAATCTATTGTATAATATAAAAAGTATTTTGTTTTTAATCTTAATAAATTCTTTCGTTTAATGCTGTAAACGGAAAGTGGTTTCATATAATTTTTATGCATACAGATTTTAAATTATATATATTATACGTAAAACATAACAAATGTATACAAAAAGATTTGCTGATTTTTGGAATAAAATTTTACATTTTAATAGACCAAAGAAAGTTGTAATTTATAATCCACTTTTGTGCTTATTTAGTAAGGGTAAGGCTAAGGAAATTTTAATAATAATGATGAATTGCGATTATCAACTTTTAATTGCTAAGTAGCATTCAAATATCATAAATCCATTGTCCAAATATTTATATATATATATATTATCAGAAATCCATTGTCCATTGAGCTAACTTAAATTATTAATTTATTTTACGCATTCATTTTTATCTTTTTTTTTTTTTATCTTCAATGCTTCATTTAACTGAAATCTATTAATAGCTTAGCTTAAATAACTTTTCTGATTAACCAAACCCATCGGCACTCTTTATTAAATTGAAATCAACCAATTAGCGACCTATCTCGTAGCACTTTAAAAGTTTTAAAGCACACGGCACACACCTTATCATGAGCCGCTAGAAAAACAGTTAGCTCTGCCACATACATATGTACATGTCTAATTTATTCAAGAATGACATGCATATCCAACATGTGCGAATTTCATCAAGTCTTTTTATTTGTATTATTTATCAATTGAATGGAAATCCCTAGACTGATGACGTACCTATGTATTTATGGTTGATGGATGTGTAAATTAGATGCCAATCGACATGACATTGCACTTTATTAGATAGCTGCGATAAGTGAATAGTTGTAAACTTTTTTGAAATGATCTGGGACTCGAATATACAAATACTTAATATTGAAGTACAAAAAAAAATATTATGTTTCATTATTATTATTATTATTATTTTGAAGGGTTGGCTCTGCACGCTTTTGCTGACGCAATGGAGTTTTTATCTTTATCAGAAACCAAATCGGATGCCGTAGCGTGTTGTATTGCAGCGCTTCTATTTTAAAGTTTCACATTTCCGTTGGGAGTGAGAGAGAACTTTAAAAGTATTCATTGTGATTATGAAACACCTGAAACGATTTCGTCAGCCAGGTGGCAAGTCTAAACGGCGCAAGCCCTTCTCTGACCAAGAGGGTTGGTAGTGTTGCAGTTCAACCTCTCAACGTGTTATCCTAATGCTTATCCTTATTCTCTTGCTCAGCCAAATGCACTGCCAACTCACAAGTCGAATTTGCTGTAACAAATGTATTTAGAAAGATTTGCTGATATTCGAATAACTTTTAACATTTTAATAGACGTGGTCCATTATAAACTGTGTATTTAACAAGCTAAGGCAGTGTTATTGTGTTAAAGAGTGCCGCAAAGAGAGAGAGAGAGAGCGAGAGAGAGACGATAAGAGAGTGGCAAAGAGTGCACAGCCAGATTGCTCTTTGCGCTGAGTTGCTTCTGCGTGTTGAGTGTTGTATTGTATACGGCTGTTTAACGGATTTTCAGTATTTTGGCGGGCTGAACGCGCGCTCTTAAGAACGACGGTCGGCCAACCTAGCGTCAGTCGCAAACTGACTTTGATGCCGCATGGTCAATGCTTTGCAGGCGGTGCGACAATTGTTAAACATTTTAAAGAACATGTGCATTCTTTAACCTAATATTAGTTATTTTACAATAGCCTCAAAGTTATAAGAAATTGTGTACGAAGACGAGAAAATACACGTTAGCTAGTGTGTAAATTAAAAAAACTTTATTGTGCACAGAGTGTAGTGCTAAACCAAAGGAAGCCAACGATTTTAGCAAGAGTCAGCAAAGTAAGTACATACATACACACACACACACACAACCCACACATATAAAAATGTCTACTTGTGTATGTCGCATGCGAAGAGCATAAATACACATGGCACGAATTTGGATGTCTAGAAATAGAATGCATGGCAATAGTAAAGTGTTATATGGGCTGCCGATCAAACGCATACGTTACATGACTACGGCTATTAAAATCGTTAACATTGCCCAATTAAGTAGGTACATTCGTTCTAAACTAATGAGCAAATGTCAAAATTACACAAGCGTACACTGATGAAAGATACCCATAGACCATAGACCGATATAGAATGTGACCCAAAAATAAGCAGACAACCAAATTTGTATGACCAATTTTTTGGTTAATACATTATTATTCAACATATTCACGGGGCCTGTCTGAACAACAAAAGATTAACGTCAATTACATTTCAACATTGTGCTGCGCACGAGAATCCGCTGCATATTGTTATATAGTATCTGTAAACCATTTAAAGCCGCAGCCAGAGATATGTATTCATGCAAATGCCATACAAATTTCTGACAGGTAAAAAGAAAATGCCCTTTTAACGTGGACACGCGCCTGCAACGTAAGCAAAACGAAGCGAGCGCTCGCTGCGCAGCTGACGTCGACAGCAACAGCAACGGCTACAGCATTGGCTTGGTTCACTGCCAGCGTTGTACCTGTGCGCCCTTATGTTCTTCTCTCTCTCTCTCTCTCTCTCTATCTCTCTCTCTCTTCACTTGCATATTACGTTGTGGCGGCATTTTTCGCAGACCTTTGACACACACTTCCGATTTGCATAGCACATTCGACGTGTTTTCAATGAATGAAATCTATATCACGTAACACGTAACATTTAACGACAACACAAATTAAGCGCGCGCTTTCTAATTTACCATTGGGTTGTGCAGAAAATTTGCTTCATTTACTCGATTGCAGATGTCTGAGATCTTGTTGCTGTTGTTGTCAGTGTGTGCATGAGCTTCATTGAAATTGTTGATGCGCCATGCCGTGTTTTCCCCAAAGTGCGATATTCAAAGGTAATTGAGCATTTGAAGGGAGAAATCGAATTGTGCTTTAGCTGTATAGTGTCTAGGCTTTAGTGCAGGCAAACACCCACAACATTGGCAAGCAGTGAGCTAAACACACCCACGCAAACACGCACACACACACCCACTAATGCCAGCTGACGTACAGAGGAGCGTTCAGGCTATTGCATTGTAATGAAAAGCTCGGGAAAATTGAACAAACAAAAAAAAATTAGAATCGACCATAAAAGGCAAATACAAATGTGAGGCGACCTTCGGTGCTCAGCCAACACCTCTACCTTATCTATTACCATTCGGCGGGCATTAAGTGAGACTGCATAGTGGTACCAACACTTTCCAATGTCGCGTGGAGCTATTGATTTTTGTGTGCTGCGATAATTAACATTAAAAAGAATATCCGCAGCTAAAGCGAATGGTGGAAAAGGCGCAGAACAGTGACGTCAGCATGCGAAAATATAAGGGCAAGAACTTTATGCAGGGTTCAACGTCAGCAACTGCTGTTGCGTGGGCAGCAATCGGGGTTTTGTTTTTCTCAGAAATGCTAATCTCTATTCATTACAAATCTATATGTTAATTGTGTGTGTTTTTTTTAGAGCTTAAGTAACTGGAATTGGGTATTATATTTATTGCAAAGATTGAGTTGAAAATAGATTGTTGTATAGAAGCTCTTAATTCAACTGAAAGAATTGTATTTGAGTGAGTCGTAAAATTGTCTTTCTATAGATAGATCAGTCATCAATATCCAGACTTTAATTGACACTATGATATAAGGTAAATAATGCATGGAAATCTTTCTTTGTTGGATGACCTATATACTCCGAAGATCAATTATCAATGATTAACTATCTAGATTGGGACTGCTGGAAGACCTAGCTTAACACTTTGTCGGCATTAATATCCATTGCAATTATAATTAAACTACCCAGAGCACCTCCACTAGTATTCGATCCATTGTTTACTGTTATTTTTGTAGCATTTGCTGTTCTATTCCGAACTGTCGTTTGTTCTTGACGATATGGTTTCTTGTTTGCCTGTCAATTTGCGCAAATTGTTTGCACACGCCCTTGCACTTGACTCGACTGGACTTGACTCGAGTTCTTGGTGGTAGAGCGTGGAAGAACCACGGCCTCAAGACAAATTGATTTATTTTTAGATGCAGCCAATTACCGTAACGTAGTCACACAGCTCAGGTGGCAATGGCAATGGCAACGGCAACGTTACCACTCGCTCAATGGTTAGAGGACCTTTCCAGCGGTCGAGCCACTTCATAGTTCAGCATTTGACATTTAGTCTATAAATTATCTCGTAAATAATCTTGCATTGATAAACTGAGCACAGGAATCTTATCTGATTATGCAACTTAAAAGCTCTCGAAAGCACTCTAATTGTTTATAGTTCTGCACTTATCTACGAAATGGTAATTACCTACGAATACCTACTATATACAAATACATTACGAAGGCATGCGAATGCACTTGGGAGCGTCTCACGTGCYCACAATAATAATAATAGTAGTAGTCTAAATGCTACCTGAAAATGATGGCATTATTATTTAAACAGCAGCTATAAAATTCTATTGCTGCCTGCGTCATATATTGTTGTTGATCTTAAGCGAGTAGTACGTAAATACTAAATCCAATTGGAATTGCGTTTATTGTCTTTGTTTGATAGTATTAGAGCACTAATACGTAGGCACTTTCACTGTAAATATTTTGAAACATAATAACATTGTTAGGGAAAAATTCCCTACTGTGACTGGTTCGCATTAATAAGAATAACATTTCTGATTACACAAATGCAACATGAACCCAAGCATAGCGATTTGTAGCTGATGAAATTTCTATGAAACATTGCAAGTTCCCACATCACCAGATGCTAAATATAAACATAATTATTTGAAAAGTATTTGTACATATAGATATATACAGAGGTTCGCATATACCACTGTGTGATTCATGATTCAGGGCTTTTAATTTTATTATCTTATCGATGTAAACATAAACGTATTCAATAATGTAAATTCCCGTTAGTGATATGAAAGAAAACATTTATATAGCTTACAACATTTTTTATAAAGAATGTATATATATATAGACCAAGCGTCATGAGAATTGCATGTGGCGGGCCAAATAAATATTTATATACATATTTATTTCTAAAACGAGAGCACGTGTTTTTTTCATTTTGGTTAGGGGCCTGGCCGCTTCGTCCAGAGAGTGAACTGAGCTCGCTCTCAAAGCAGGATGCTGCGCTGAATTGCAAAGAGAGGAGATAGCATGACGTCACATAGGCGCAACAGTCGTCTCTCTCACTATCTCCCTCTCTCTATCTCTCACTCTCTCTCTCTCTCTCTCTCTCTCTCTTTCTCTTCTTGCTTGTCATTTACAGTGTTCCACACATTTGATTCAGTTTTAGTAAATCTTAATGCGCCTCTACTCTTGCGTACGTCTAATTTCATTCGTATTTGTATTCGCATTCGTTTTGAATATTTTTCAATAGAATATACCAAATTGGTTCAGCCATTGTCAAAATTTCATTTTCAAGGTCGTCTCGCATTAGATGCTGCAAAAAGAATTTGTTATTTTAGTCTTGTCAATAGCTGTTTCCCAATTTATCATCGGCTAGCCTGCCTCATATGTCCACATTATATATGTAGAAGATGTGTATTTGTTCTTTTGTAATCTTTAGTTCTTCGACTATGCGACATTTCCTCAAACACAACTAGCTTCAATTAGAGCAGCAAACCAACCCACAAAGATATAAAAAGAAACACGACCAAGAAATTAATTGAGATGATGAAATCGTGTATATTTTTGGCAATTCCTAAGAAATTCCATTGAAATGACAATACGAACATTGAGTGAACTTTGAAAGGGCATCAATTTACAACATCTGATATATCTTGATATATATTTAGTTTTCACTTTTTGTCTATGTTATGTGGGAGCGTTCCTATGTGCACGCAACACAAAGTAATTTGAGGGGTTTTTTTTTTTTTTTTTTTTTTTTTTTTTTTTTTTTCTTATAAAAAATTTTTTAAAAAGCGCAAAAGATAATTTATTAATGTGAGCTAGATGAAAGAAAGGATAACAAAGAAAGGACTATAAATTATGGATGATTGCAAGGATTCCGTATTTTTTTTTTTTTTTTTTGTTTTATACATTTTTTGGCAATGATATAAATCGATCCGTTATCTAAAGGTTAAACGCAACCGGTTCTAGCCGGTTCTCTGGGTCTAGAACGAAGACAACAAATGTGATATGGGGCGAGCAGGGAACGTCACTAAATATAAACGAATCAAACAAGAACTCGAACTAAATAAACTGTGCCAATTCGCACTGGGTGAAGGTTCTTTCATGTGTGTTGTTAAATACCTGATGAGGTAAATATGCATTTAGACACACATATGTTCTATCGACTAAAAGACCCCACTCTATATTGTCGCCAAAACAATATATTTCATTCATGCCTGCGCGTTCCGGTCTCAGATAAGATCAGATAAGATCTTATCTCACTCGTAACTTATCAGTGTTTTATATACGTGCTTCTAGTGACATGGGCAATCGGCTCTGGATTGTAAATATATAAATTTATAACTCTTAAGGAGCTACTGGTGAAAGAGTATAACTCTTGCGGCGATTACGGTAATGCAATTAAGATTAAGCTTGAGATTTTGTTGAAGTGCTATTAAATCAGATTTCCTTTCTGTAGTTGATTAATAATTGGTCTTTTTATGAGCGCAGTATGATTGTTGTCAAGAAATTTCGACGCGTTTCTGCCCGCTCAAAAGTTCATTAAACCTTCATGAGAAATGTGCTGAGCTCAGCGGAGATGAGAAAAAAAAGCCAATAAACGAACGAAACCTGAACATTGAAATGTGTCTACGCAGCCGCATGAATATTCATGTAAATTGGCCAAAACAAAAGCCAATTTATCTCTGCCATTTGATATATTACACATACGAACGACTACTCAATATGAAATTTGACGTAGCCTGAAGCTGAGCCATGCCCACGTGTCTCCACTTGATATCAAAGGTTCTATAAGCAACAGCTGAGCTCTACCTTCGTTTGAGCTACTAAATTTTTTGTCAACGCCAGCAAAGTGTTAATTGCTAGCAGCAGCAAAATTAGAAAGCCAAATTGTGACACAAAGCCAAAGTACAAGGCTGTTTCTATTGACGCATGTGACAGGCAAATGTGCCGCCGCCCCCTTACCAAAAAAAAAAATAAATAAATAAATAAATAAAAACAAAAAACTTGTGACAATTTCACCACTCGACAATGTGAAGTGTAGCACATGTGAAATGGCTAAAATCAAAATTCAATTTGTGCTGCCTCAGATTTAACCAAACATATTCGTATATTAATAATAGATCCGCGGCGGATAAGCAAGTTTGCTTTTCGATTCTCATCAACGCAATGACAGCGCTAAAAGAACATTTTCGACAGAACAGACCAAATTGGGCACAGCGCGAGAGTTCATTGATAGCAAGTCTAAATATAGAACTCATTAGATGGCACTTAAGTGACATAAAGAGAAATTAAGTGAATATAAGTTGTCATACGTCGAACAATTGCCCAACCAAACAAACATTTGTATGCAAATCTCCACAGCAACGAAAAAGCTAAACGAATTGCAATCGAGCGCAACTGACTGCATGATGCTCGCTCATTGTTTAAATAAGAGTCTATCCACACTCTCGGCTCTAGTTGATCTCGAAGCTATGAAACTATTTTAGGTAAAGTTTTACTCTTTGATTTGCCAAGCCTTCAAGACAACTCATTTGAGGCCTGAAGTGCTACCACGCCTTGAATCTTGAAAAAAGTTACACAATTGTACAGATATATATAGGTATTTTCAATTTCAAGCTAGACATAGACAAGCCCAATTTACTTTCGTTTCATTTGCCGAATTTCCAATCAAGAAGAATTGATTGACGCCAAGACAGACCGTAGACAAAGCCCATATGCTCTCATTTAATTTGCTGATCAAGCATTCTATATATAAAAAACGCGTGGAATAAGTTTCAATAAATTAAATCAAATGCCTTTTACTCGCAAATGAAATGTGCGGCGGCCCACGAATCAATTAAAAGGCAATTGGACGCATAAAATGTGAACAAATTAAAGACATTGTCTGCTGATTCAATCAGGCGAATTCTATTAATTATTAATAATATTGAAATTCTCTCTCTACTTTCAGAGACAAAATAGCAGCGAAATAACACACACAAATAAACACAATGGTGAACATTATAGTGAGTAGCTAAAGACTTTACGATTTTCCATTTGATTGTTGGACTCAAAAATTGATTTTTGATTACAGGATGGCAGCGCGAAACATGCGCCACAGGAAATGGAACAGTTCCTGCCCGGCGATGGCACTAACAAGTAAGTCTCCTCCCCCTCTCTCCCTCACTCTCATATTAAGAGATCTAATATATTAACTAAGCCAACAATTGGCTTTGCGTGCTCGTCAATTAATTGTAAGTTTAGTCCGACAAATTGCTGTACAATGATGCCGCCAAATGTCACACGGCTGGCCAATTAGCCAGACGCCACAAAAATTAGCTCTGTCATGCAGCGATATTATGTGCCACCATACAAGTATATATATGGTTGATGATCACAGTTATTAACTAGTCAGCTACTGCCTCTAATTGGAACAACAAATTGTTGCTTTAGTTGCTAACTAGACCTAGATCTAGTTATATACTTATTTGCCAATCGTATAGGTGTAATACGCAGCTTCACTTCTGAATGGGAATAATTCATAATTATATACACATACAATATACACAACATACATATATACAATTCTATAGAAACAGATAATCGCTTACGTACTTTGCTTTTTAGACAAAGCTCAAAGTTTGCAAATATTTTTATACAATCAATAATGTAATGAAATTGCAAATGGGAAATCAAGGTATAATGGTCTTGTGAAAAAGTTTGTAACGGGCATAAGGAATCATCGCAGACCCCATAAAGTATATGTATGAAAAAAGAAATTATTCAACAATTAAATTCTCATAATATTTCCCACGCTGCAGTGCAGCCCAAGCGCTGTCGCTGCTAACTGCGCAGTCAGAGCAGCGTGCGTGTGGATGCATGTTTATGCATAAAAGAAGTGCAGAATGAGTAGAATATCAGCTTAGAGGGCTCAGGGTATCACCTAGTCGAGCAATCTCGACTTGTTGCTATATAATTCACTTTGATTTTTGTTTTTGCGAACTGAACACTAATTTGTTTATTATATTTCTCGAATGCAAATATTATTTTTCATGAAAATTGAGAAACGTAATATACATAAATATTGCTCATCACGAATTGAAAATTGAGCTTTCATCTCACTGATAACAAATAAATAAATAAATTTTCCTATTTAGAATGACATTAGCTTAGTATCAACAACGAGCTAATGTCGTAAAGCACAAATAAAAATAAATTATTCCACGAAACTCTGGGAGCAGAATTTAAACAGAATAATCGGGCAAGATAACCTTTTTATATTATTTTAGTGAGCAGACCTTGCTCTTCAAATGATAATAACTTATTTAATGAATTTATAATCAAAATGCTTTAACAATAAAAACTACAATAATAAGAGATTATATATTTGTATAAATTCATATATATGTATGTTTATAGATTAATGCGTAGCCAAAGAAAAGACATATTTTGTGCGGTTTGTTAAATGCTTATCAGAAGATTCTTACAGGAAATGATTTTGTGGTTTTAGGGGAAATGACTAGATATAAATTTAAGTGTATTTTAATTATATGCTCAAGTTGACAAAACAGAAAATTCATGCAGATAATAATATATAAAAAATTTATATTTATTTTGTTTGCTATTTCAACAAATTTTTTTCTTTTGTATTATATACATAGTTAAAATCTTGTATTAATATTTAAAAGATTTTTGTATTAATTTTATTGCACTGCCTAAAAGTAGGCAATGTTATTTTTCATTGATATTTTTCACTGGTATTTTTATGCTACTGCAGCGGGCTGGCTGCACCATTGATTGTTGTTGTTTGTAGCTGATGCAATGCGCTGGCAGCTTGGAATCAGGCTGAGTGCAAAAGCAACCAACTAGCCAATCACAATTGGCATTTACTGTCCAATTTTGGGCTAGACGTTGTTGCTCTTGTTGTTTCTCTAGCGTTTTGCACAGCTTGTAAACAGCGAGTGAGACGCGTCGACGATAATTGCAGATGCAGCAATTCCATAGCAAAGAATTTCACTTACGACTGTCACATACAACATATATAAAGAAAATGGTGCACACGTTGATGGATTTTAGTTGTGACCAGAGTACAGATCGGTTCAGATACGAGCATGACAATGAGCGACTTAGAACCCACTCATGTGGAGCTGAGGTGGCATTGATATGATTTAAGGCCAACTACTTTACACTTTTACTAACTATTTTGTTATCTTTTCTTTGCAGATACAAGATACAGCCACGCAAATCAGATGCCGAGCAGGCCTTGGCTAACAGTGTTTTCGACCCGTTTACAATGCGCGAAAATGAGCATCCCACTACGTAAGTCCCCCAGCCACAAAAGGACATAATCAGAGATCTCTCTTACTAACTCTCACTCTCTATCTCTATGTTGATTGCAGCGATAATGAAACTTTGACGCATTTGCTGAAGGCCTCACTGGGAACTGGCATTTTGGGCATGCCCTATGCGTTTATGTACTCGGGCTTGGTTATGGGCATCTTTGCCACCATCCTAACTGCCTTCATCTGCACGCACTGCAGTTACGTGCTGGTTAGTATCAGAACTATCCTCTTCATTATCTTAGTAGGTTATTAATACAGTTAATCTGCAGGTGAAATGCGGTCACAAGCTGTACTATAAGACACGTCGCACCAAGATGACGTTTGCGGAAATCGCGGAGGCTGCATTCCAGAAGGGTCCAAAGAGTCTGCGCGGCTTTGCGCCCGTGGCAAAGTTTTCCATATTGTTTGGCCTGTTTCTCACCTATTTTGGCACCTGTTCCGTCTACACGGTCATCGTGGCCAAGAACTTTGAGCAGGTGCTGGTGCATTGGACGGGCCGCGACATTGAGCCGCGTGTGATCATCTGCATAATGCTCGTGCCATTGATCCTGATTGCCTGGGTGCCCAATCTCAAGTACCTGGCGCCCGTTTCGATGGTTGCCAATGTCTTCATGGGTCTCGGCCTGGGCATCACATTCTACTATCTGGTCCAGGATCTGCCGCCAATCGAGGAACGCTCCCTCGTCACGCTGTCTACGCTGCCCGCCTTCTTCTCCATAACCATCTTCGCCATGGAGGCCATTGGTGTGGTCATGCCGCTGGAAAACAACATGAAGACGCCCAAGAACTTCCTCGGCATTTGCGGTGTGCTCAGCCAGGGCATGTCTGGGGTCACACTGATCTACATGCTGCTCGGTTTCCTTGGCTATCTGCGCTATGGCAGCGCGACCGGTGAGAGCATCACTCTGAATCTCCCCATCGAGGAATGGCCCGCCCAGGCTGTAAAGGTATTGATTGCCCTGGCCGTCTACTGCACATTTGGACTGCAGTTCTTTGTGTGCCTGGAGATCGTCTGGGATGGCATCAAGGAGCGCTGCACCAAGCGTCCCATTTTCGTCAACTATGTGCTGCGGTAAGCTACGACAAAATGTATTCCACAAGTCTCTTATACTCATTTGGTATTTCATTGCAGCACCGTTCTGGTAACTGCTGCTGTAGTGCTGGCCGTTTCAGTGCCAACCATAGCGCCATTTATGGGTCTGATTGGCGCCTTCTGCTTCTCCATACTCGGCTTGATATTTCCGGTAAGTGCAGCCGAAACAGATTGCAATTAAAGTCAGCCTAACTGATCCCATCCTATCTTAGGTTATCATCGAGCTTGTCGTGCACTGGGATTCCGGTTTCGGTCCTGGCAATTGGATACTGTGGAAGAACATCGTCATCATGCTGTGCGGCGTTGCGGCCCTCATCTTTGGCTCTCTGTCGGCCATTCAGGATATCATGAAGGTCTACAGCGGGTCCACGGAAGCCCAATAAGTAATTGGGAAATGGAAGAATATATGAAAATAATCTCCTGTGCGTAACACAAAAACAAAAAAMAAAAAAAAAAAAAAAAAAAAAAACAGCATCAAGTATGCAAACAATGCTTTACCAAGGGATATATTCATATTTATATATATGTATACATCATACATACATATGTATATTTATTGTATGCACTATTTGTATACCATTTGATGAGACATATACATTTTAGTGTGTAGTTTGTAGAAGGAGCCAGCCGGGATTAGCTCTTGTTTATTTCCTATGAATCTAACTATTGTTAGATGTAAAAAAAAAAAAAAAGAAGAAAAAAAGCAAAACAAAATATAAAACTGCGCCCACACTTTGTACATTTTTCATGAAAGCTGAAGCGCATGGCTAAACCATAGTACACCTAGGTTAAACTATCTATTCGAGTGCCTAACTATTTAGCACACACACACAGCACCAAAACTGTCCGTTTTAGCACGCTTTAGTACACCTGCAAATGCAATTATATGAAAAAATGGAGAAAAATATTAGCTTAAACATAAATGTATATTGATTGTTGAGTACATTTTTAGTACCAATGCTACAAAGTTAACTAGCCTAAACACTCAGAGAAGAGTTTTATTGATCTTAGTGTATATTCGTAACGAGCTAAACAGATTTTGATAGCACTTTCTTCCTTTTATTCTGTCCGTCTATTTCGCTTGCATCCTCTCTGTTCTAAAAGAGTATTACATAAAAAGAGAAAACAAAAACCAAAATTTTGCAAACATTTTCATTTTGTTTTTAGCATGTTTAGTTTATAAGCAATACGATTTGGTTCTTGGTCTCCCTAAAGTTCTATAAGCCATTCAAAAAAAAAAAAAAAAAAAAGACTTATTTTTGTGTATATATTTTGCAGAGCTTTACAGGGAGGCCAACCAAGAAAAAAGAAAATACATTGTTACTCAAATTATATATTTTTTATACAAACATATTTAGTTCAAATTGTTAGAAAAGAAAATAAGAGAAAAACCAAACAGAGCCTGGAAAATCAGAGAATAATATTCAATTATACGATATTCTTAATGCATACTTCATTTTTTTTGCTTAACATTTTTATTTTTAATATAGCTATATTATATAAACAAGAATATTTTACTATTAAATATTTATAATATGTAAAAGAGATAAAACAAAAATTATACCGAAGTTTAAACGAATTCAAAAGCAGTTTTTGCATTTAAATCATTTTCGTGCACTGAAAAACAAAACCTAGCAACAACTACAACGAAGTTAATTTAATTATGAAGCCAAAAGTTAACTTTTATCTTAGTTCGCTAAATTTATTCGGAATTGAACATATTGTATATATAGTATGTATATGCCATGTATGAAAAGTTCTATGTAAAAACTTGTCCACGAAAACATCGAAGATTGATATGTAACTGTTTAATTTTTTGAAAAGTGTTTAAATTCAAGCAACAGCAACAACAAGACAAAAAATAAAGCGGAGTTAATTATTATATAAATAAAAATTGTTTAATTTTGGATCCAATTTAAAAACATAATATATGTGAGGAATACTCTAAAGCTGCATAAGCAAGGAGAGTGTAAGCTCTTGGATTATCTCTTTTAATTCCGACACAAAAAAAAAAAAAAAAAAAAAAAAAAAAAACATTTGTCTGTCATTAAACTCAGGGTATTTGCTAGTCGAGCGCCTTTTTCTAGAGTCTCATATTGATTTTTGACAGCCTTACTTAATTGATCAGTGCTGCAGCACGTGGCCCCAAATATAAAAAATTTGAAGAAATTATTAAAAATTTAAAATCATACGTAATTGGCATTAAATATATATACACACACACACAACGCATCTATCTATGTAGGTCCCAAGGCATGTCTGCTTACAAATTGAATTCGAGACGGTCCGAGCAGCRATTCGCAATTGGCAATTGGCAATTGGCTTTAAAGGCAATTGAACCTGATTGTGGGCCAATTTGGGTAACCTTTGAGTCAATGCGCTGTGCGATGCGATGCGCTCTGGAGGCCATTGCCGAACCACTCTAATGCTACTACGACTTCGCAACACTCTCAACAATTGAGCTGTGCCTGGAGAGCATTTCGTGTTATTGGCTTGTCACTTTTGTGATTTTGCGACAGTTTCGAAAGGTTTTGTTTTTTTGGTTATTGTCGACGTGGGAATGTTGGCTAGGAAATCCTTGAAACCGAAGCGTTTCCAATTTGTAATCGATGGCAAAAAGAGTAAGAAAAACGCTCCAGGAAACCCGCAGTTGCTAACCAATTAGCTCGTGACTCGAGAGTGCCAACAACAAAGATGATTTGCTACCAATTGAGAGCTGCCCACAGCTATGCTAGGCATGGGCTAGTTCAAGCTGAAATTGAAGTTGAAGCTGAAGCTGAAGTTGAAGTTGTGGATGTAGTTGTAGTTGTAGTTGAGTTATTCCAAGGTCGACGGTGATTTAAAATAATTAATCTTTAATTGTCATCAGCATGTTGTTTTGTATCGTCAATGGGATGCTGTGCACGTTGATTGTTGCATCTTGATTTCATTTGATGGCGCCAAGGTCAGCTGCAATAGAAGCCCCCATGCCAGAAGCTGCTCCGATTTGTGGCTTAGGTTTCCGCTCTTGTAATTGGTAATGTAAAACCATTTACAACCATTGTGTAACGGCGATAATTATCTTGTAAACTACATGAGTTGCTTATGATTATGCTGCTGCTGCTGCTGCTGCTGCTGCTGGTTTTGTGTTTGGCATTTCAAATGTTGAGTCTTCGGTTTCGGTGTCTTTGTGAGCCATTCTTGGCTTTCACTTCAGCTGGCTGGCTCACTTGGTATGATTGTCTATGGGCTGTCATATGCAATTGGAATTTTAAATGCAAGCTTCGTGGGAATATGGCTATAGCTATACCTAGTTATGAATACAGATCAAAAACGTGATTCGAACTTCTAAGATCACAATTCACATTTCACTTTCACAACAGCTTCAAGGTCCCCAGAGATGAACCCTTCAGCAGCCAGCTTAAGTGGCCGCCGCGAGAGCTACACAAATTATTCAAATATTTATAATAATAACAAAAACAATCAATAAATTTTCAAACATTATACAAAATTGTTCAACTGAAGCGCAATCAACAACAAACTCCAACAAAAACAATAACAAACATTCACTTTCAAAAGACGAGCACAAAAACAAAGAAAAATTACCAAAACAAAAAAAAGTTTGCTCTGTCCGAAAAAAAAAATGGGAAAAAATAATAGAGCATAAAAAAATAAAATACTAAAACAATTATTACTATACATAACAAAGATATTGCCAGCCAAAATATTGAAAGTTTCAAGTGAAGTAGCCCGTCCAATCGACCCAAACGCTTGGGTGCATCATCTACGCCAAGCTGCCCAGTTAAACAACAAGATTAATAAATTACGTTGCCAATAATGTATATTGTTTAAGGTTTGTATTTATGTTTTTATTAATACTTTTAGCTCTTCTTGTTGCCACTTTGGCCTAAACAAATTAAGCGCAAAATATAAAATGGCAACTAATATTGTGTTTGGTCTTTAATGTAAAAGCCATAGGAAATGTCTGATGATCGCTCACAGATGCAAATGCAGCAGCTGCAATACCCTGTAATTTTTAGTGAGGTATACAAGGGGAATGATGTCTTTTTGCTTATATCTCTCTATAGTTTTAGCTCTGTCCCTCTCTCTATCTAACTACCTCCTGCTAGCTCTCTGCCTATATAACAATTGTATGTATCTCGCTTTTTCTCTGTACCCCTCTCTCTCTCTCACACTCCCTGGCCTGTTCTTTTCACAGAGGCAGACTATCAATCTCTATTTCTCTCTATCTCTATCTATCTCCATGTAACTTTACAAATATCTTTTCTTTCTTATTCTGCCTATCTCTGTCACTCTCTCTTCTTTCTTTCTATTACCTTCTCTTATTATTCCACATCATTTACCCTTATCCTACTAGTCTCCCTAAATTCGCCTCTCGTTTTCCGTATAATCTATATGCATCCCTATAGCATATCCTAACGTTCAGCACACCCGACTAGATCACTTTTACTATCGTGTATTGGGGCAATCTTCAGATTATGGCAGCAACATCATCATCATGATGATGATTGTCGTGCCAAGCTACCACGTGACGCCAACAGTTAACTAAGTCTTGTGTTGGTTGTTGTTATTGTTGTCATCGGCAGCAGAGGTAACAACAGTAGCTGCCGCCACCACCGCCACCATCGCCACCGACGCCGCAGCAGCAGCAGCAGAGGCAGAGGGCACCTGGTTTGGCGGCGGTGAGCACCCGCCACAGATCAGCGCGCTTTGTGCATTTGCATTCATTATGTTTGGCACCGTCGACGCGGCCACAACACAATTCTCTCTGAATCCGAAAGATCTTCGTCACGTCGAGATTGTCAATTCTTCTAAATTCTTAAGCCGACTTACGAGACGTGTGTGTGTGTGTATGTGTGTCTCTATCTGTGCAAGTGTGTATTGCAATTTGAATAAAAATGTCTGAAATGTGGATTTGTGTACCAAGCTGCTGACACTTGTTTGCCAAGAACTAGAGTTCAGAGTTGACCTCTAGCTAAGAGATTTACTTTTATTGTATGCAATAAATAACAAAATATATACAAATATTTCAAAGTAAGCAACAGAATGCTATCGCCACAGTATCGCCACTTAATTGTGCTGCTAAGCCTGAGCGCAGCTGTCTTTGCCGAAGAGTCAATAACTGCGGAACGCAACCACAAGGTGTGTAGACCACAATCACTATGCATATGTAGCTGGAGTCATAAATAATCGTCAAAAAACCAATTAAAGAAACGTCAGATCTATCGCGAGCAAGTGCTGCCACATGCGGGTGGCAAGATACCCGACACCGCCTTTGAAACCGATCGCCTGTTTCTGAACCGCCTGCAAAAGGAGGGCATTTCCGTGCCAGATGGCATTGTGCCAGAGCAACGCAATCCACAGGTAATCAATATTACCAATTAATATATAATGTGCATAATTTCAGCTCACCAAATAATTAATAATAATTCACGTTTAATAACCAGGTCTATCAATACTATAATAAGCCCATGCGCACCGTTTACCACATAGCGCTCAGCTCCGATGGCCGTTATACGCCCCGAGAAGGCCGCTATCAGTACCGTCAGGTGCCCAGCGTGGAGACTACCTACCTGTATCCGCAGGCTGTGGGCCATCCGTATGTGCTCGTGCCGCCCAAGCATGCATTGCCCAGCTACCGTCAACTGCAGCTGCATAATCCGTTGCTCAATCAAGTGAAATTCCAGCCCAAGAAAGGTGAGCTAAGCAATTATTTAGTTTTATTTTTATCTGTTACGCCTTGTTGCACTTCACATTTATGTGGCTTGTGCAGTGCCCAATTTTCTGGAACTGGCGCCCACCGTGGGCAAGAGCCATGCATCTAGCGCATCAGGCAAGGCGCAGTCCTATCAAAATGTGAATCTGCTGCATGGCCAAGCGGTGCCTGCGTTCAAGAAAACCGCCGGTGGGAGTAAGACCTATGTGGATAGCTATGGCAAGACTCACGTAAGCACAACCTTTAAGACACCATTAGCTTTATAGCCTCAACTCCTTAACTCTTGATTGCAGCTCTTTAGTGAATTTGACGATTTGCTCAACAAGCTCGACTTGAATCCAGCAGGACAAAAGTTGTATTAGTTTGCTCGCATAAATTATAAGCCCTAGAATTTAAGACAGAACAATAGAGAACTCGTGACAATATAAAAACATACTTTTTCACAAAACCAACCTGATTTCCCACTTTCAATGGGTTCAGGGTATAGAAAATCTTCGTTTATGGTTGAGCTTATAGAGTATTGAATACTTATTGTAACCATGCCAATGACGATCCGTTTACACGCAGTTCAACTATTTTAGCCAAGTTGAATGTACTTTCCATTTGCTGTTATTACACTCAATCATATCATATTTAATAAGTATTTCTTGTATTTAAGTCATCCGCAAGTTTGTTAAGCGTAAAAAAATGTTTGCTTGCAAAATAAACCATATTGCATTATGCTTTCCTGCACAAGCAATAACTACTTACTACATATGCATAAGATACTTATGCTTATCATCGCTATATGTACCTAAAGTTTTACTGTACTATTTAGGCAGTGCGATCTGTTTGTTCAATTGCAAAGCAAATATACAAAAACAAAAAGCAAAAAAAAAAAAAAGCTTAGAAAAGCAGCTTCCAAAAATCGAAAGTTGAACAGCCGAGCGAAGCACGAGACACGAACCGCGCTTACCGTTAGACATCGTTCATGGTACCCTTGAAAGCTTGCACGACGGCGACAGCGGCGCCGTTCAAGTGGATGCCGCTTGGAAAAACTGCACTTCAGCTTCAGTGCGATTTTCAAGCTGAGCGCAGACGGTTGATCCAAATCCGACAACTGCAAATAAAGAAAACCTGAAAAGACATAGAAGAAGAAATGTTGAAGCCAGAGACGATGCTCACAGCGCTGCTGCTTTTGGCTGGCCTAGCGATGGCCATTGAAGTGCAGGTTAGTCTAAGACGAACATTAATATCGACAATGATGAGTTGCAATTAGTGTGGAAAATCAGACCAGGGAACAGCACAGTTCCCGCCTCATATTGGCTTGGCACGCGTGGCTGTGTCTTACCACGCGACGCTGTGGTCGACGTTCACTTTTGACCCAAAAATTGTAACATGCAATTGAGGCACACACCAATACGAAACACACACGCACACATTCACACAGAAGCACATATATGTTCATAACAACAGCAATACACATGTTTAATTGTTTGCTAATAATGAGCGGCCTGCCACTTGGCGGGAACTGGAGACTCAAAGACTCGGAGACTTGGAGACTGCGGAACCGGTTACCGCACAAGTCTTTGGCTTACGCAATATGCAACATTTGATATGTTTACTTATGTTGCTGCAGAAATTCGGACACCTGTATAATCCGCCACAACCAGAGCATCATGAACGCCGCGAAGATAAACAGGATCTAAATAAAATACCAGGAGTGCCGGGAGTTGATTATCCGATTTACCATGAAGTGCCGCATACCCAATTCAGTTGTCACAATGTGCCCGCCGTTCCGGGCATGTATGCGAATGTGGAGACCGGATGCCAGGCTTATCACGTGTGCCACGATGGCCGGGAGGGACACCAGGGCGCCTCGTTCCTCTGCACAAACGGCACCATATTTAACCAGAAGGAGTTTGCATGCGACTGGTGGTACAATGTGAAATGCGAGGAGGCCATTAGCCTTTACCAGTAAGTATTTTGGATACATTATATTTGATTTATTATCTATACTCAATCAATCAATGCTCAGCTTAAATGCGGATCCGGAGCATAATCCCTATGTGCCGAAAAAGAAGCCTGAATTGGAACATGAGGCACATCTGCCACATGATGCTCATGGATTTTTGATACACGCCTAAATATTATAATATATATGTAACTAATTATTTAATTGTTATGTKACGTTTTTACGGCAATAAACTTCATTTCAAATTTAAAGCATCACAATAGTAACGTCTATATCGAATAAATTGATATCGATTAATTGCTGTATCGATAATTTTTGTATTTGGTTTATTATATTTCTATCGATACCCGGTAATAATCATCTCAAAACAAATAATAGTTTTTGCAGCTGCATTGGCCATTTAAATAAAAGTAAATTTAGACGTTATTAAAGTAGAATGGCTACTCACAAAGATCCTAGCTCAGTCGGATACAATATTGCGCGAGATCCAAATTTGGTGAAGAATCGCATTTTCATTGGAAATCTGCCTGTTTGCACGCGAGAAGAGTTGGAGAGCATCTGCCATCCGTATGGAAAGGTTTTGGGATCTTTGGTGCAAAAGAATTTCGGTTTTGTGCAGTTCGAAAGCGAAGAAATTGCCAACAAATGTGCCTCTGCATTGAATAAATCCATATTTAAGTCAAAGGCACTAACCGTGCGAAATGCGAGTATCAAACCAAAGCCAGTCAATGCATTTCCATTGAATGCCAAGAAAGTTAATGCAATCACACATAATCCAGGCGGTGTTCCAATGACCGTTCAGGGTGGGATTGTTATGCCCGCCGTTGCCGCTGCTGCCGCTGTGCCCATTAACGATTGTGAAATAATTGTAGTGAATCGTGAGAATACGTGAGTATATATAATGCCCTGCTCCCTCATCTGCTAACCAATATGCTATTCCTGCACAACTACAGAAAATACGCAGAATACGTTGAGGATCAGTTGAGGAAGATTGGCATGCGGGTAGATGTCCTATTTCCCAATGAAGATGTTATGCTAAACCAAGTGCTGAGTAATATATCAGCACGCGGTTGCCTCTACGCTATTCTAGTGACCCCGCAGCACGAAGCTCTGAATAGCATTACAGTCAACATATTATATGGGATACCTGCCGAGCATCGCAATATGCCATTAGATGATGCCATCGCACTCGTGACCACCGACTTCAGATCGAAGAAACAACGTGATGCACTCAACACTTCCCAAATGAACCCCAACCAGAGCAGGCATCCAGATACAATGCAGCATTTGATCGAAATGCTGGCGGACAACCGACAGTTGACAGGTTTGCAATATGAATGCGTAATCAAGTATTTGGAGAAGCAGCGGGAGCAACAACTGAAGCTAGAGTTGGGTGAAGCAAACGCTTTGGCCAAGCTTCAAGAGCCCGATCCAGAAATTGAGCTGCAAAAGCGGATTCTCAGTGTTATGAATAAGCCCTCTGTAACAGAAATCAACTACGAGTTCATGTATCCCACATTTGAAATGGCTAGGGCAGATGACCGTCTCATGGAACTCCTAAAGGATCGAAGGGTCATGTCGGCGTTGAAAACTCTTTACAACTCACCCCTGACGGAGACAATCTCTCAATACTTATAGAGCGTAACACTTTATTAACTATAATCAGCGAATAGGATTAACATATTAAACTAAGGCCATGACCGCTTGGCCTCATGTCCCTCATATTTGTTTCGATATTTGAGCCCTGTGACCAAAGTGGAGCTCTTTGGAAAAGCAGTTTTTCCATTGAATTTTGTGTCGGTATCAGGGTGGAAACGCAAATATTCATATTGTATATGCAAATTCTCTGGCAAATCGATGCGCTTCAGCGCATCCAGTGGCACTGTAGTGTCTACCGCCCTCTCATAGAATGCAATAACATCGGCCACTGTGGACATCTCATGCACCTGCGAATTGGGCACACCATGCTGCAGTTCCTGGAAGCAGGCCGTGAGAAACTTGAACTTTTCTTCTAAGTTAGACAACTGTCGCTGGTCTCCGCCTTTGGCCATCTGCAAATTGGCAGCCACGGTACGAACACGGTTCGCTGCATCTGAAGCAGGCGCGTATGGTTTGTTTGGACGCAGGAAACTGCAAGCAATTGGAATATTTAATAACCAATCATCACTAGAAAACAATATTTACCCTTTCGAAGCAATAGATTTACCAACAGCTTCTAATGTTTTGGCTTTTGTTTGTTTCGATGAAGCATAGCTTCTCTGCAGATTGGCCACAACCTATGGGTGGGTATTTAATTCAGAAGAAATGCTGATATTCTTCAAATTTACTTACATTTTGAGGCACAAGTAAAAAGCCTTTACGTAAATTTACCGCTGCCATTTCTTTAGTGCTGCAAACAGCGTTGCCACTACTGAGCTAAGTCTTTGTGCAGCCCTAAGTATCTGTCAGAAACTATTTTACATAATCGATAAATATTAATATCAATATTAAAATTACTAAGCCACTTATACCGTTAAAATACCTACGGCTGAAATATTTTTTTTGGCAGAATGACTATTATTTGCCACAAATAAGACATACCGCATTCAGGATTTATTAAAATTTTCTTATATCGAGTAACTATTATAGATATATTCGATATACCGATATTTTAGCCATCGCCAACTGTCATTGCTCGTCTCTTTCTTTTTCCGGTCGCCGAAATGGTACGACGCAAGAATTTATAAGCTCAAATAATAATTTGTAAACATCTTAAATGTTTGTGAAAAATATTGATTGTTGTTTGAAAAACATGACCTATTGCAGACTCATTGACCAGTTGGTAATAATATTTCAATATTCTTACAGGGTATTGATATCAACCACAAGTACGATCGTAAGGTTCGCAGAACCGAACCCAAATCTCAGGATGTCTACCTGCGTTTGCTCGTCAAGGTAAATATTTGAATATGAAATTGAAAATAAGAGTGTCGCTAACGCAAATTTCATTTTACAGCTGTACCGTTTCCTGCAACGTCGTACAAACAAGAAGTTCAACCGCATCATCCTGAAGCGTTTGTTTATGAGCAAAACTAACAGGCCACCAATGTCGCTGCAGCGTATTGCTCGCTTCTTCAAGGCCGCTAACCAGCCTGAGTCCACTGTTGTGGTTGTTGGCACCGTGACCGATGATGCCCGCCTGTTGACGGTGCCCAAGTTGTCGCTGTGCGCCCTCCATGTTACCCAGACGGCTCGCGAGCGCATCCTGAAGGCTGGCGGTGAGATTCTGACCTTCGATCAGTTGGCTCTGCGTGCACCCACAGGCAAGAACACGCTCCTGCTCCAGGGCAAGCGCACCGCTCGCACTGCCTGCAAGCACTTCGGCAAGGCTCCTGGTGTGCCCCACTCGCACACCCGCCCCTATGTCCGGTCCAAGGGACGCAAGTTCGAGCGTGCTCGTGGTCGTCGCTCAAGCTGCGGCTACAAGAAGTAAACAAAGGTGGCCAGTGGAAACGGTGGACGTCGCTTTTTGGTTAAGATATTGATTTGTCAATCGAGGAAAATAACGTTGCGCTCTTTGTGGCAATAAAGAACTTTTATTCCAAAAGGTGAAAACACAATTTATAAATTCTAAATCTAAAGCTAGTCACAGTCTAGTGCAAGTGTGTGCTCCAATAATTGATAATCGGCTGGTCCTGTGGCTGCACACCGAGCACTTTCTTCAGCTTGGCCTGCACGCTCCCGGACTTGGCATGATTCAAGCAAATGACCTTGCTGCAAGGATAAGAGAGAGATTAAACAATGTGGATTCATTTGGATATTGCTTTCACCCACTTCTTCCACTCCTCGATTAGCACCTTTGTCTGTTTGTTGAGCACCAGCTCGGTGAAAGTCTTCTCTTCGACGGCATGGACGGCCTTCAGTAACTTGACCATGAGGTCTGGATCTGCAGAATAAAACAAGCTGGTATAGTTAGCAGTAATTATCTAAATAGTTAGACTTACACTTGCGCGGCAGTTCGCCGGGCCACTTAACGGAGACGATATCGTTGCCATTGATGTGCTTGTCCAGGAAATCGATGCGGAGCACGCAACTGCTGGCTATCGGCACAGCAATCTCATTAGATACCGATATAATCTTATACTCTGAACTGATCGAGTGCTGATGCTGTGCATCAATGCGTATTAAGTTGTGCATTCGTTCTGGCAGCAGTTTTTTCAGGCACACCATGAATTGAAAAGTGCGATCCGGCGCACCACGAACAATAATCTTGACACCCGTGAGAGCACAGTAACAAACAATGGGAAAATCCTCCTTGCCCACCACCATCTTGATATGTCGCAGCGAGAAGAATTCATCCTGTTCTGGATTGTCGATGGTCTCCTCATACATTTGTATCATTGGCAGAGTGGAACTGTTGTAGGTGAGACGTTGAGCAGGCGGTCGGCCGCTACTTTGCGGTGGCAGCCATGGCAGATTGCCGAAGGTGACGTGCTCGGTGAGGAATCGGGATCCAGCCAACAATATCCAGGCAAAGTGCGAATGCAGTTGGGCGAACACATGCTCCTCGCCCGTCAACTCAATCAGAGAGCGTGGTGTCGGCATTAGAAACTGTGCGCCCGACAAACGACGCTGTCTTTCCGAGTAGTTCAGCTCCTCCGCTGCCTTGGTGCGCTGCGCTCCGGCCTGCAATTCCGTGGACACCTTTTTTAAATGTTCCGCCAGAAAGGGCTTGGTGTTTAGCAGAAAATACTTGTCCTTCATTAGCACTATAATCGAGAAGAGCTGATAGTAGCCACGAGACTGCAAATCGCTGACGCGAAACGTATGACTGAGGATATGACCACGAGAAGAGTCGCCAAAGAATACGAAGCCGCCATCGCCATCCCTGTTGGGGTTTATCTCGCAGCAAAGACTGCGCACGGCTGCCTGCTTGACCAGGTTGGCCACCTCGGGCAGGGCGGCCACTTTGGTGCTCACAAATGTGGCGCCGCTCTCTGTATCCTTGCTGTAGATGGCATTGTTGTTGCGGCCCAGCGTATAATTGCAAGCGGAACAAGCCTTTTGTCCCTGTTGCTGCTGCTGCTGTGGCTGCTCCGAATTCAGAAGGTCTTCGATTTTGGTGTCACGCAATGTCTGCGTGCAGAAGATGGCACATGGACCATGCACTTCGCAAAAGTGGCATAGCGCAATTACAGCGTTCATCTAAGTGCTGTATGCAAAAAAAAATTTTTGTTGACAAGAATAAATGCAGTTTTTTTACAGGCACGCGCTTGTTATTTATTTTTACTGCTGCCAATGTGACCGCATGTGAAAAATATAAGCAACTAAAAATGCATAATATTTGAATATTGCCTCGATTTAATCAGTGCCTATAAAAATATGATATATTTATATAATAAAGGTAATATTTCTGATATATCATTTATTTTCAATTAATATTCATGTATTGATCGTGACTCGAATTTCTTTTCTCATTTATGGTGTAACTACATAGTTAAAAGGAACAGCCCTAATGGCCAAATGTTAATAGTATGTTATCGGTTTCCCGGTGCAGAAATTATCAAAATATCGGCATTAACCAGATATCGGGCAGTCGATTAACTGTAAACTGTTCTTGTACGCGGATGGCGGCAGTCGAAGCGGAATTAACTAATTCGTTTAAATGGAGGAGCCGTCAGTTTTACTTTGTGAATTAGCAGATGAATATTTTGACAGCAATGAAAATATTGCTTCGAGTTTGCTGTTTCATTATGGCAAAAGACAATGGTATATAAAACCATTCCTAGTTGAATATGAGAATGAACTAATTGCGATTATAACAACCTGTAAGTAAATTACGCTTATTTTGATGCGTCTTGTAACAATTGTTTTAAATTTAACAGATGAAAAAGTGCGCACCAAAAAACTATGTTTTAGAGTAATAGAAGCTCAAAATGGCTGTCGAACACTTGCATTCCTTCAGAAGGAAATGGCGTCAAATTATCCGGCAAATAAACTCGACATGGAGCTAGCTGCTGAGATTTTGCCAATTATCTTCAGAAATTACACGCCCACTCTCGAGTTCGAGGTGGAGAGAGAACATCATCAGAGCCAACGTGAACTGAAGAGCTATGTAACGACGCAGCTTTACAATGCCTTACATTGTAAGCATCAGGAGCAAAAAACTGCGGAGCCATTATCTCTGTGCATGCCGAAGTGTTTCAAATCTCAATTGAGAAAATATCAGGAACGTACCGTCAGTTGGATGCTGACACGTGAACAAGAGACAAATCAATTTCCAGCCAATTATCTTACACTGCAGACCGTGGACAACCACCATCAAGTATTCAAGCACAAATACTGCCTTCAATTCTATGCGCACCAAGATGCAATGCCCATGATCATATTGCCACCAGGCGGCATTCTGGCCGATGAGATGGGTCTGGGCAAGACAGTTGAACTGCTGGCTACTTTGCTGCTGCATCCCAGAGAAAATATCAACAACAGTTACTGGCGCAATTTGCTGGACAAGTTGGAAGATCATGTGCCGGCAAAGCTGAGGCGCACGGAACACAAAACCCATTGCATTTGCCCGCACTCTCAAGCCAACAAAGTTAAGGTGCAGTGCAGGAGCTGCCAACTATGGCAGCATCAGACGTGCATACTGGACGCCAGCGATGTTTATATGTGCCCCAAATGCTGGACAGAATCCACAACAGAATGTGTCGAGCTGGTGGAATCAGGAGCTACAATCATTGTGTCCCCAAACGCTATCAAGACGCAGTGGTTCAATGAAATTAGCAAGCATATAAGCTCCACGCTGAAAGTGCTGCTCTATCCGGGTTTGCACTCTGGCCTGTGGATCAGCCCATTGCAATTGGCCCAATATGATATAGTGTTGACCGACTATTCCATCCTAACGCACGAGATTCATCATACGCCGCGCAACGCAACGCATCGCGAGATGCGCTTCGAGCAGCGTTACATGCGGCCCAGTTCCCCGCTGCTGATGGTCCACTGGTGGCGCGTCTGCCTGGACGAGGCCCAAATGGTCGAGAGCAGCACATCCCAAGTGGCGGAAATGGTGCGTGAACTACCGGCAGTGAATCGCTGGGCGATCACTGGCACTCCGATACAGCGCTCCATCGATGATCTGGCGCCGCTACTTCAATTCATTGGGTTCAAGGATGCTTGCCAGCCCAGCGATGCCTGGCAGACGGTCTCCAACTCTTTTCTGTTGAACCACAATGCCGAGCCGCTGCTGGAGCTCTTGCAACAAAGCATGTGGCGCACTTGTAAATCGAAAGTGGAGCACGAGCTGGGCATACCACCGCAAACTGAGCTCGTGCATCGGCTCGAGTTGAGCAACGTGGAGGCGCTGTATTACCGCGAGGAGCATGCCAAATGCACAGAACTCTTCCTGGCAGCCGTGGCTAAGCACACGAAACAGAATCCGAATAACAATTGCTGCTTGGCTTCCATATCGCCCAAGCTGCTAAGGATCATATTACATCCTTTTCTGCGCATTCGAAAAACTTGCTCCATTCCAGTTGTGATCAACAAACATGTGACCACGACCAACTATTTGAATCCACAGGATCTCCTAACGCATTTGAAATCGAACAACGAAATGCAATGCAAGCGCGAACTACGCACTTGGGCCTCATCCTACAATGGCCTCGCAGCCATTCATTTCATACGAAAACAGTACGGCGAGGCGATCCATAACTATAAACTGGTGCTAAAGCTAGCTAAGGACTACAATGAGGAGAACATATCGTAAGTGGCAGAAAACAGTTTGACTAAATAAAGTTAGTAACGCACATTATTATCTCTATAGCGTGGACAGCTTGCTCCAAATACATGCATTGCACAATCTACTGGAGGCTTCGCAGTTGGCACCGGAGACGGAGAGATTGGCGGAGCAGGAACTCACTGAATATCGCTTGAAGCTAAACGCACTGCAGCGTAAATATTTGGAGGAAAAGTCAACTGTGCTGCAGGCAGCACAAGATGCCTATGAGTCGAAGCAGGAGGAGCTGGATAGGCTGGAGCAACAATATGAAACAAATACTTTAGATCTATTCGCCACATTGATCAATACGAGTGGATCGATGCACAATGCGCTATGGAATAAGATGTTGGATGAGTTCTTCAGGCAAAACTGTTCCAAGGATAAGTTACAGGATGTGAACTCAATGACGGGCGTGCTCTATATAATACACAACTGGCACAACAAACTGATGAAGCTGCACAAAAAACTTGGGACCGAATTTGAGGGTCTGAAGAACATTTTGGTGCAGGCGTGTGGAGCAGTGAAACAGGGAGTTGCCTTAAATCAGGAAACTCTCAGCTTCATTAGAGATGTCTCCGATTGTCACTTGGCTGACATTTTGGTGAATGTTTCTGAAATATTATATAATATTTATAATAACTGAACTCTGTCTTAACAGGACGAAAAAGTCGCTGACAAACCTGTAAGAGCAGAAAAGCCAAAGAAACAGGAGCCCTGTCGTTTATGTCAGATCCGTGATATTGTCAATCAGTTTGAGTGTCTGCTGTTTGCCAAGGAGTTGGGCAAGGAGGGCACTGTAACGGATGGCACTGAGAATCCCAGCATCGAAATAATCGTTATAAAAGGTATCAAATCCCATAATTAATGTCCAATTGCCAACTATCTAATATAAATATTTATTTATTTTCAGTTGTCTTCGCCTTTTTGCGCACCAAAAGCGAGTTTAGTGAATTCAAAGCCGAATGTAAAAGTAAAGTTGAGTTGCTGGATGCCATGCAGAGTCTGGTGAAATTGCAGATTAAGTACTGGATTGAAATGGAGTATGTGATCAAAGCATTCGATGAGCTGGACATGTGCAAAATGCGCATTTTGCTCACCAATGATCCTGAGGAGCAGTCCACCTTTCGCATACTGTCCTGCCAGTTGGACGAGCAAACGGAATTCAATTTGAGCCATATTCAAGAATCGCAGTTGAATTTTACGCGCTTGTCCGGACGTCTAAAGTACTTAAAACATTTAAAGGAGGATGCGGGCGATAAGCCCTGTCCCATCTGCCAAACTCAGGATGATAAACGCGTAATGTTTGATATATATGTATATATTTTAATATTTAAGCGCGGTTCTAATTTAATTTCTTCCTAGTATGTAATGCTGTCCTGTGGTCATTTTCTCTGCCAACATTGCCTGGACAGCATGAAGAAGCAAATGGGTCGTGATAGCGTTAAGAAATGTCCATTGTGCAGACAAGATTCGCCACAGTGAGTTGCTGAGCTTTAGAATGAGTTTTCATATTATTAAACAAAATATCCCATCAGGCTCTACTATTCCATACGCAAGGGTGTCAACAGTTCCGAGGTCGTCGGCGATTTCTCCACAAAGATTACGTATATTGTTGACCTAGTGCTGAAGATCAAATCCGAAAGCTCTGACAAAAATCAAGAAAAAATTCTGATCTTCTCACAGTGGCCAACCATATTGAATCACATTGCCAACGCTCTAAGTCAAAATTCTATCGAGTACCGCAGCAAATTTACTAATCGCGATATTGATGAATTTAAGGTTTGTATTCTGTGCATAATCAAATGAAATTATCGACCTAATTTATAATTCTCCTTCTCGGCAGGATGCTGATCGCAATGTGACTTGTTTGTTAATGCCCATAGCTAGAGGTTCAAAGGGTCTCAATCTAATTGAGGCTACTCATGTCTTCCTCGTAGAACCAATTTTGACGCCAGGTGAAGAACTGCAGGCTATTGGACGTGTTCATCGTTTCGGTCAGACGAAGTGCGTGAGATTTCATATATAATCATCTAAGATTGAGCTTTAATTTATCTCTTTATGACAACAGGCCCACCACGGTACATCGTTTCATTGTAAATGGCACGATCGAGGAAAATATCATGAAACTCATCAAATCGGCAGACGATAAATCCACATTATCAACACACTGGGACCTTGACAACATGACATTAGATAGCCTGACGAATCTATTTACACTTAAGGAGAATGACTAAATATAAACGGATATGCTAATATGTATATAAGCAATATATATAGATATATATTTCCTGTAAACGTTTATGGTATAAATCAGCTTAAGTCTAGACCTATGTCTACTTCTAAGAAATACAAAGTATTGCTTTTTGAAAACGATTTAGCTTAACATATCTATTTGCAGTTCTGCATGCATGTTTTGTCTTACACCCTTAAATTTGATAACATTTTCTAAATCTTATCAAATAGATTAGTTTCACACGTGGTCTATCTTCAGGTCCTCCAGGCTGGTGCCATCGGCGCTGGCCTTTTGCGCATAGTAGCCATCGTAGGAGCTCTGCGCCTTTTCGATTTCCTGCTGTTTCTGTAGCTTCTGCAGTTGCTCGTAGGCGGCTTCTTGTATTTTGAGCCGCTCCATGTCCGCTCGCCGCTTCTGCTCGTTCTCCTCAAACTGTTGAGCCTGCAATTCAGCCGAAGCCGCTGCTCGCTCTGCGGCAGCCTCCTGGTACTCGTCATACGAGTGCAGATTCTTGTCGGTGGCCTCGATCTTGTGTAGCGACGATAGTTGCTCTTTAGCAGCCTCAGCGATTTCTTTGCGTTTCGCTTCGGCCTGACGTCTGGCCTCGCGCTTTGTGCGCTCCTGCTCTTCCAGCTCCTCGCGCGCAGCATAGAACTTGGATGATATGACGGGTGGGCGATTTTCGTGCGTCCTTTGATGGCGCTTCAGTGCCGTCTCCTGCCGGAAATGTGTGCCACATGTCTTGCACTCGAACGGCTTCTCGCCCGTGTGTATCCACTCGTGATGCCGCAACGTCTGTGCCTTCGCGAACCGTTTGGGACAGAAACGACAGGCGAAATCCTTAACCTTCTCGTGTATGATCTTGTAGTGCCGCTTCATGTTGCCGATGTTGTTGAAGCCCTGCCCGCAGCCAGGGCAAATGTGCTTGCCCTCCTTCTTAGTGAAGTTGACTTGGGGCGACCAGGAGGGCACTGACACAGACGGTATTGGATTGACTGCCGTGCCAGCCAGCTGCGCAATATCCACACGCTGCACTCGCCTCGGATCTCTGGGTATCGTGGCCACCGATTCAGCGCACACTTTAAGAAGTTCATCGGCCGCATTTTGGGAAATTATCACATCAACTCCATCCGTCGTCGTGGATGTCTCAACGGCTGGCACGGCAGCCGCAACATCCGTTGGCTCGCTGCTATTCGTGGGCACTTCGCCCAGCTCCACCTGCCGCTGGCGATACGTTTCGATGGCGCGTAACACACGCTTCTCGTGCGTCTTCAAGTGCTTGGTGAGGCTCTTTGGATAAAGGAATTTCTTGCCACACACCTTGCACTCGCACCGCTTCTCGCCCGTGTGCGTCATCTCATGGATTTTACAGGCGTGCGACTTACCGAACGTCTTGCCACAATACTGGCACGCATAGTTCTTAATCTTTTCGTGCACAATCTTGATGTGGTTGGCCAGACTCTGCTTGTTATGCGACGCATGCTCGCATATATGGCACTTGAACTTCTTTTCCTGAGTGTGCGTCAAGATGTGGGTGTTCCATTCCTGCCGTGTGGTCTTACCAACGCCACAGTAGGGACACACGTAGTTCTTGATGCCAGCATGTCGCATCAGATGATCTTTGAGCGCGCTGTTGATCACAAAACGTTTGCCACATATATTACATGGGAACGGCAACTCCTTGCCGTCGTGCTTATACATATGTTTCTTCAGGGCCATGGGACAGCGGAAAACCTTTTCACACTCCGTGCAGGGATAGTCTCTGGGTGGCGCTGCTGCCTTTGAGATGTTGTGCACCTTCTTCATGTGGAAAGTAAGCAGGCGAATGCGAGGGAACGTCTTGCCGCATCCCTCGACGCTGCAGGCATGTACCTCAGACAGTTCTGTATGCGCATGATCCACGTGCAGCCGCAGACCGCCGGCCGTCGTGAAGCCCTTCCTGCAGGACTCAACTTTGCACTGGAACGGCAATAGATCATTGTGATGCTTCATATGCTCCTCATAGCGAATGGCCTTCTTGAACTTCTGATGGCAGATATGGCAGTCGATGATGCGATGCAAATGTCGTTCTGCTGCTGGTATTCGCTTGCGCTTTATTCTCGTTTTGGATCCATTCGTCTCTGAGGCTGAACTATAGTCATCTTCCAGCTGCACACTGTCGGACGGTGTTTTTGCACCAGATTTGCTCAAGTTCCTTGGATTACCGCGTAGTCGTTGGGCCAGGGGCATGTCGTCGTCACCATCCGTGCTATTTGGCTCAAAGTCTATGTCATTGTCGTTATCGTGGTCGTTCTCGTTGCTGCTTTCCATTGAAGACTCGTCGCCAAACATTTGGAGGACACCAGGCTGTTCCTCGACATCATGTTTGATTTCTTTCTCAGCCTCCTCTGCCTCCTTGTCAACGTGCTCCAGCATTTTAAAGACGTCCTCTTCATTCTCTATGATCTCCATCTTATGATTCAGCAAAGGATCATAGTTAATGCGATCCTCCTCCTCGCCAACTAATTCTCCCTCCTGTGTTGCAACATTCAGCACGTCAAAGTTGTCGATTTGGTTAGCTTGTGTCGCTGCTGGTGCGAAGAAATTGCTAGCGATCATTTCTTGAAACCTTTGAACGGAGTCAACGCATAGCTTCTGAAAGTCGTGCAAGTCGTTAAGCCGGGTGTAGCAACTGGTGCACAAATTCATCGGAAAACCATCGTTCTGTTCCACTGAGAGAGAAGTGCACACACAGAGTTTCTTGGCCAGACCAGGAACCAAGAACAAATCGTAGGCGGCATCGTTTCGCAAATGATTCAAGCAAATGCGGCATATTGTTTGTATGGAGTATTCACTCCGCTCATCCATCTTCGATGTAATGTAAATTTAAGACTGTCGAGAAAAAAAAAAAAACGCGTCAGAAAAAGAATATTTGGATGTCGCTGTTGTCTGTTAACTTAACATGTTGTTAAACTGTTATTAACAGCGGGCACATCTTTTAGTCGTTTATTTTTATATTTTCAAGAAATTTATGCAGCCTTTGACATTAAACATTTTAAATTATTATTTTCTTTTATATGCCCATGATTGTTTGAGATGTCTTATAGTACTGACAAAAAGCGGCAAATAAGAAATAACCTCTAAGTAAATATCTGCTAATAGTCCAAAGTCGTTGTCTCTAACACATTGATAACAAACAAAACAAAGCGATATGGAATATAAGTTGATTTCATATGCAAACAGTTAGATGTTTAGGATAAAGTACACCGACTAATTATGAGCAATAATAATAATTTCTTAATAAATAATAATAAACAAAACTAACAAATATTTAATTAAATTGATGTATGTATATAAATATAATAATACTGAGTACCCAAGTTAAAATAATCGGGTACTCATAGAAGTATATCGATATTTTTTATGGTATTCTCAACCTTAGCCCCCACCTCTGAATATATACATATATAATATGTGTAGATACATATTTACATACATATATAATTGTGTAAATAGGCGCTATTTACAATTCCCCATTCCAATATATTGTAATGCCCGAAAATAAAACATATTTATAATTATATACGCGTTTATGTATATTTCCTTAAACAATAATCATAATAATCATGTCATTTTCATAGTGCTTGAATATCTTGAAAGACGTTAAAGTATTATTTGATTTTTTGTTTTCTTATGCATATTCTTGAATTTAATACAGCACAGTTAAGGATCGGGATGGTAGTCTGTTCTTACGTTCATTTATCTTAGCTCTTAGTAACGTACCCAATGCGCTGTCTTCAGATTATATCTTAATGCTTCAAACCGGCTTTTAGGTGTTGCGCGGCTCTGTCCGAAATTCCATTTTTCTCAAGATCTTGATTAAATCGCATAAGACGTTGCTCCGTTAAGCTTCTAAATTTCAAAATATTTAGTGAGTTAATGCTAAGCCATAATTTGTATCTATAAAGTAAGCGTGCAATATCACACGTACCTAATAATGCATTATTGAATACATAATTGAAATGATTAAGATAAGGATAAAGTTATACATTTGCATATGTAACCATTCGAGGGATTCGCATAGTTCATAAAGGTTCTTAAGTGGACTTGGACTTGGGACTGGGACAGCTGGAAGATTTTATAGCCAAATATAAAATATTGCTCACACTTACACTCAAAAACTTACTTATTACCGCCGACATTTACACATGATCTAATTTCAGGGCATCCAAGCTAGTCCCCTCAGCCTCTGCCTTCTGTCCATAGTAGCTATCGTAGGAGCCCTTTTCGCTTTGCACCTGTTTCTGCAGTCTGTTCAGCTGCTCGCAGGCGGCCTCTTGAATCTTACGTTGCTCCTCCTCGGCCTTTCGCTTTGCTTCATTCTCTTCCATCTGTTGGGCGAGCAAAGCAGCAGTTGCAGCCGCACGTTCTGCAGCGGGATCCTGGAACTCTTCGAAAATCTTTGGTTGCCTTTTGTTGAGCTCGACCTTCAATCCCTTTGCTTTGCTAACTGACGGCTTGGGTGGTTTCTTGGCCTTTGGCGGCTTCGGTGGCTTGTCGTGCACCTTCAAGTGCGTCTTCAACACCTGCTCCTGACGGAAATGTTTGCCGCATATCTTGCACTCGAATGGCTTCTCGCCCGTGTGTATATATTCGTGATTGCGCAAGTATTGCGCCTTGGCGAAACGCTTGGGACAGTAGCGACAGGCGAAATCTTTCACCTTTTCGTGAATGATCTTGTAGTGAAGTTTCATGTTGCCAATGTGGTTGAAGCCCCGTCCACAACCTGGACAAATGTGCTGTCCCTCCTTCTTGGTAAAGTTGACCTGCGGCGACCAGGATGGCACAGAAACCGAAGGTATGGGGTTGACAGAGGTGCCTGCCAGCTGAGATATGTCCACACGCTCAACTCGATGTGAGTTTTTGGGTTTAGGCGGAACTATTGGCACGGGCTTGATGTCCACAGGCTCTGCCATTTCCTGGTTCATAGTCGGTGTTGTTTGAGCATCTCCTTCGACTGTCGGATTGCCAGCAGCTGTTGGTGGTGGTATCTCACGCTTCTCGTGAATCTGCAAATGCTTTGTCAATCGCTTCTCGAACAAGAAGATCTTACCACAGATCTTGCACTCGCAGCAATTCTCGCCCGTGTGGAGTCTCTCGTGGATCTTGCAAGCGTGCGATTTGCCAAATGTCTTGCCGCAATATTGACAGGCAAAGTTCTTGATCTTCATGTGAACCACCTTGACGTGGTTGGACAGAGCCTGTTTATTATGAGATGAATGATCGCACTGGCGACACTGGAACTGCTTCTCTCTAGTGTGTGTCAATATGTGCTTGTTCCACTCCTGACGAGTTGTCTTGCCCACGCCACAGTAGGGACAAACGTGATTCTTCACGCCGGCGTGGCGCAAAAGATGATCCCTGAGCACACTGTGTATGTGGAAGCGTTTGCCACAGATTTCACATGCAAAAGGCAGCTCCTCTCCAGTATGCTTGTACATATGCTTCTTAAGCGCTGTTGGACAGCGGAAAACCTTTTCGCACTCTGTGCATGGATGATTTCGGGTTTCAGCCTTGGCCACTTTGTGCACCTTCTTCATATGGAACGTGAGCAATACAGATCTGGGGAATGTCTTGTCACATCCCTCAAATGTACAGGCATGAACCTCAGAGAATTCCGAATGGGCGTGATCCATATGAAGTCGCAGACCACCAGCCGTGGTGAAGCCCTTCTTGCAGGTCTCCACAGTACACTGGAATGGCAACAGATCGTTGTGATGCTTCATGTGCTCCTCATAGCGAATTGCCTTCTTGAATTTCTGATGACAGATGTGACAATCGATGAGACGGTGAAGATGTCGCTCAGCGGCCGGAATGCGTTTGCGTTTTGGTTTTGTTTTGGGCTTATCGTCATCATCATCGTCGTCATCGTCATCATTGTCGGAATCAGAGCTAGAAGAATCATCATCATCATCATCAGCTTTTTTCTTTGCCTTCGATTTGGTTGCTCTAGTACTGCTTCGTAGACGGGACAAGGGCATAGCGTCGTCAGATTCGCTGCTGTTTGCTTCAAAATCAACATCATCATCGTCATTTTCGGCTTCGCTCTCGCTTGAGGACTCCTTCGCCTTCTCCACTTCCTCCACATCCTTATCAACATCTTCTAGCATTTTGAAGACATCCTCCTCGTTTTCGATGATTTCTATTTTAGTATTCAGAAGTGGATCGAAGTTGATGCGATCTTCGTCCATTTCTCCATCCGGGGGCGGTACTTGAAGAATATCCACATTGTCAATTTGATTAATATCAGCAATAACAGGTGTGAAATAATTGTTGGCGACCATTTCTTGAAACTTTTGGGCAGAGTCCACGCATTGCTTCTGAAATCCATGCAAGTCGTTCAGCCGGGTATAGCAAGTGGAGCAAAGGTTTTTCGGGAAGCCATCGTGTTGTTCCACTGAGAGTGAAGTGCACACACAAAGTTTCTTGGCCAGACCAGGGACAAGAAACAGGTCATATGCCGGATCGTTTCGCAAATGATTTAAGCAAATGCGACATATAGAGTGTATGGAGTATTCACTCCCCTCATTCATTTTGCTTATTTCGATTTTTCTTCAGAATATTTTGTAAATTTTATAAAAATTTCAAGCACTGTCAGATGAGAAAAACTATGTATACGCGTCCATAAAAGGAACGAGCATTTTATTTATCGGTTACTCACATGAGTACTCACTAATATCAATCGTCACTAATTCGATTTCAAAATGCTTTCGATAGTTTTCAGATATTTTTATAAGTACGTTAGCATACTCTTTTTGAATTTCATTTATAAATAAAAATTTTATAACATTTGAAAAAAATTTTTTTTGTTTTTTTAAAGTACTTTTTAAGTTTATTTTTTAGCAAAGGCTGAATATTGTTTATTCAATAATATGAGAACACCGATTACTAATTATATGCCAATATGTAAAAGTTATTGATATAACAAATTATTTAAGGAATATAAATTGTATAATATGGACAAGTTAAAAAATATACATTATACTATGTAAACTGAAGGATTCAACGGTATATCCATTAAACTTATTCTCCTTTAAGATCGTCCACACTGATGCCAGTTTCGGGTTTCTTTACTTGAAAGCTATCACTGGGAAGCTTGTTAATAAGCTGTTCCTTCTGTAGCATATGGAGTTGTGCGCATGCAGCCTCTTGAATCTTACGTGCTTCCTCTTCCGCCCTTTGCTTAGCTTCATACTCCTCCTTCTGTTGGGCAAGCAATGCAGCCCTTGCTGCTGCCCTCTCTGCTGCAGGATCTTGATATTCATCAAGAATCTTAGGCGGTTTCTCGTTGAGATTCATCTTGGGTCGTTTCTCCCTATTAGGATCTTTTGGAGGCTTCGGTTCTTTCGGAGGCTTAGCCTCTCTTTCTGGTTTTTTCGGATTCTCGTGCACCCTTCTCGCATGTATTTTCATCACTTTCTCCTGTCGGAAGTGTCTGCCACAATACTTGCATGGGAAAGGCTTTTCGCCGGTGTGCGTCCATTCGTGATGCTGTAAGATTTGTGCCTTTGAAAAGCGCTTCGGACAGAACCGACAGGCGAAATCTTTCACCTTTAAGTGTACAATTTTAAAGTGAATCTTCATGTTGCCGATATGGTTAAAGCCACGCCCACATCCTGGGCAAATGTGCTGGCCCTCCTTCTTAGTGAAGTTCACTTGGGGTGACCAGGATGCCACAGAAACAGTTGGAATGGGATTGACAGCTGTACCGGCCAACTCGGATATATCCACCCGCTCTAGCCTGTTTCCGTTTTTCGGCTTAGGTGGCTCTGTTGGTATAAGCTTCATCTCCGCAGGTTCAGTTGTGTCCTGGCTGCTCTGTGCACCATCTTTACCGCGCCCTTTTGCAGCTGTTGCGCGAAGCTCACGTTTCTCATGAGTCTTCAAATGCTTTGTCAAGCTCCTCTCAAAAAGCAAAACCTTACCACAGATATTGCACTGAGAGCAGTTTTCGCGAGTGTGGATTCTTTCGTGAACTTTGCAGGCATACGACTTGCCRAATGTCTTGCCGCAGTACTGACAGGCGTAATTCTTAATCTTCATATGCACAACCTTGATGTGATTTGCCAGAGCCTGTTTATTGTGTGACGAATGATCGCATTGATCACACTGGAACTGTTTTTCCTTGGTATGCGTCAATATGTGCTTGTTCCACTCCTGTCGAGTTGTCTTACCCACGCCACAGTAAGGGCAAACATGATTCTTCACACCGGCATGACGCAACAGATGATCCTTCAGCTCGCTGTTTATGTGGAAACGTTTGTTACAAATGTTGCAGGAAATCGGCTTCTCCTCTCCTGTATGCTTGTACATATGCTTCTTAAGGGCCGTCGAACAACGGAAAACTTTCTCACACACAGTGCAAGGATGATCTTTAGCTCGCGATGTAATGATTTGGTGAACCTTTTTCAAATGGTTCGTGAGTAGAACCGGTCGAGGAAATGTCATGCCACATCCCTCAACAGAACAGGCGTGAACTTCTGAAAGTTCCGAATGAGCATGGTCCATATGAAGGCGTAGTCCACCAGAAGTAGTGAACCCCTTCTTACAGGTCTCCACAGTGCATTGGAATGGCAGTAGATCGTTATGATGTTTCATATGTTCGTCATAAAGCTTAGTGCTCTTGAATTTTTCGTTACAAATGTGGCAATCAATGGCATCATCCTGTTTGACTTTGGGTTTTGACACGCGTTTTCTTCTTGATTTGGTTTTAGGTTCTTCTTTATCAAAGTCATTATCCATTTCCCATTCAAAGTCTGAGGAATCTTTCTCTTTATCATTATCTTTATCTTCTACCACAGGTTTTCTTTTGGCCTTCGACGCTCTAGTAACGGTTTTCAAACGGGACAGAGGAAGCGCATCATTCGAGTCGCTGCTATTTACTTCGAATTCCGGGTCGTCATCATTCTCGAACTCAGCCTCACTAGACAGCTGCTTTTCAACCTCTTCAACTTCTTTATCCACATCATCCAGCATTTTAAAAACATCTTCAGTTTCCACTACCTCAATTTTAGTATTGAGAAGGGGATCAAAGTTAGTTCGATCCTCGTCCATATCTCCATCTGGGGCAGTAGTATTCATCAGATCAACTTTGTCAACATCGGCCATGACGGGTACAAAGTATTTGCTTGCGAGCATTTCCTGGAACTTTTGCACAGAGTCCACGCAAAGCTTTTGGAATCCGTGCAAGGCGTTGAGTTGGGTGTAGCAAGAGCCGCAGATGTTTTTTGGGAAGCCATCGTGCTCCTCTACTGAAAGCGAAGTACACACACAAAGTTTCTTGGCCAAGCCAGGGACAAGAAACAGGTCGTATGCCGGATCGTTTCGCAAATGGTTCAAACAAATGCGGCATAACGAATGTATGGAGTATTCACTCCCCTCATTCATTTTGCTTATTTTTCCTTTCTCTGGACAAGTGTTTAACTTTTAAGAAAAATTAATCAGTGGCCGTGTCCGATGAGACAAACTGTGTATACGCGTCCATCATAATAACGATATTTTATGTATCGGTTACTTGCACGAGTACTCGTAAGCAACAATAGCAATTAGTGTGATTTTAATAGAGGCTCGATAGTTTCATTGAATGCTAAAAACAAGTTTTAAATAATTTACTACCATCTATGTATACTAAATTAAACGTTTCTCAGCTGTTTATTAAATGCATATCTCATATCGAAATGCTTAATATATGTAATCTACATAAAAACATAATAATTAAATCCCATTCCAGTTTTTAAGCAAAATACATATGTATGTATGTAGTATTTTATATTAGCTAAAATTATTGTATGAAAAAGTATAACCATAAATATTATAGTACATATGTCTATCCCAAATAAAATCTAATCTTTTTTAAGATCGTCCACACTGATGCCAGTTTCGGGCTTTTTTACTTGAAAGCTTTCACTGGGTAGCTTATTAATAAGCTTCTCCTTCTGTAGCATATGGAGTTGTGCGCATGCAGCCTCTTGAATCTTACGTGCTTCCTCTTCCGCCCTTTGTTTAGCTTCATACTCCTCCTTCTGTTGGGCAAGCAATGCAGCTCTTGCTGCTGTCCCCTCTGAGGCAGGATCTTGATATTCATCAAGAAGCTTGGGCGGTTTCTCGTTGAGATTCATCTTCGGTCTTTTTTCTTCAGAAACTCTTTTTGGTTTTGGTTCTTTTGCAGGCTTCGGGCTTGTCGGGTTAACGTGTTTTCTTTTTATATGCATTTTTAATACGCTCTTCTGTCGGAAGTATGTATCACACATCTTGCATTGGAAAGGCTTTTCGCCCGTATGGATCAGCTCATGTTGTCGTAAGACTGGAGCCTTTGCAAATCGCTTGGGACAAAAGCGACAAGCGAAATCTTTCACCTTTAAGTGTATTATCTTAAAGTGCAGCTTCATATTGGCAAGATGGTTAAAGCCACGCCCACATCCTGGGCAAATGTACTGCCCCTCCTTCTGAGTAAAGTTCACTTGAGGCGACCATGATGCCACAGAGACTGTTGGAATGGGATTAACGGCTGTGCCGGCCAACTCTGATATATCAACACGCTCTAGCCTATTTGAATTTTTCGGCTTGGCTTGCTCCGTTGGTATAGGCTTAACCTCGACTGGATCTGTCACATCCCCATTAACATTCAGGTTGTTTTGCGCAGTACCTGCTCGTGGTTTCTTAGATTTTTTCGATTCGCGTAGCTCGCGCTTCTCATGCAGCTTTAGATGTTTGGTCAAGCTCCTTTCAAAAAGTAAAACCTTACCACAGATTTTACATTCACAAACATTTTCACCAGTATGGATTCGTTCATGGACTTTGCAGGTATACGACTTGCCAAATGTCTTGCCGCAGTACTGACAGGCGTAATTCTTAATCTTCATATGCACAACCTTGATGTGATTTGCCAGAGCCTGTTTATTGTGTGACGAATGATCGCATTGATCACAGTGGAACTTCTTTTCTTTGGTATGCGTCAATATGTGTTTGTTCCACTCCTGTCGAGTAGTCTTACCCACGCCACAGTAAGGGCAAACATGATTCTTCACACCAGCATGACGCAACAGATGATCCTTCAGCTCGCTGTTTATGTGGAAACGTTTGTTACAAATGTTGCAGGCAAGCGGCTTCTCCTCTCCTGTATGCTTGTACATGTGTTTTCTAAGGGCCGTCGAGCAACGGAAAACTTTCTCACACACAGTACAAGGATGATCTTTAGCTCGAGGAGTAATGATTTTGTGAGCTCTCTTCAAATGGTTCGTGAGTAAAACCGGTCGGGGAAATGTCATGCCACATCCCTCAACAGAGCAGGCATGGACTGCGGAAAGTTCTGAATGAGCATGATCTACATGAAGGCGTAGCCCAGTAGACGTGGTAAAGCCCTTCTTACAGGTCTCCACAGAACATTGAAAAGGAAGAAGATCGTTATGATGTTTCATATGTTCGTCATAAAGCATGGTGGTTTTGAATTTCTCGTGGCAAACGTGGCAATCAAATTGATCAGTTTTAAGTGAAGCTACGGCCTTTGAAACGCGTTTGCGTTTCGCTTTTGTTTTAGGTATTTCCTTGCACTCTTCGTCATTGGTATTCCACTCAAAGCTAGAAGAATCATCATCATCAATTACGGGTTTCTCCTTCGCGGTTGCTTTGGATGCCCTGGTAGTAATTCGTAATCGGGACAGAGGCAAAGCATCTTCAGAGCTGCTGCTGTTTACTTCAAACTCTGGATCGTCATAGTTATCACATTCGCTCTCGCTTGAGAGTTGCTTCTCAACCTCCTGAACTTCTTTATCCACATCATCCAGCATTTTAAAAACATCATCCTCCACAATCTCTATTTTAGTATTTAGAAGTGGATCGAAGCGATCCTCATCCATGTCCCCATCAACCATTGGATCATTGATTACAGTCACTTTGTCAACATCGCTCATAACTGGAACAAAGTAATTGTTAGCGACCATTTCTTTAAACTTTTGTACGGAATCAACACAAAGCTTTTGAAAATCGTGTAAGTCGTTGAGCCTTGTATGACAGGCGCCGCAAAGGTTTTTTGGGAAACCATCGTTCTGTTCCACTGAGAGTGAAGTGCACACGCAAAGTTTTTTGGCCAGGCCAGGGACAAGAAACAGGTCGTATGCCGGATCTTTTCGCAAATGGTTCAAGCAAATGCGACATATCGAGTGTATAGAGTATTCCATCCCTTCATTCAATTTGAATATCTTCAATAAGTTTACGAGTTGATAAAATGCAAACTAAACACTATCCGATATAAAAACTGTGTATACATACGTCCATTAAAGGGACAAATCGTTTGTGCAGCCGATTTACGAGTATTCGTGACTTTGTCGTGCTTAGTGCTGGCACTGTATGGTTAGTGGTACGATTGCGAGTTTTTTCGTACCTAACATTTTCTATTTTCAATGAACAAATATTTTCGTCAAAAATATTTATTGACTTCAATTCGTTGTGCAAATAATGAATATTGCATCCAAAATTTATTAATTTACAAATATGTAATATAATATAATATTATGCTTAGAATATACCAAACACTTATATTAGATACTCATATTAAAACAACATAACGGTTTATAACTGATGTGCTTTAAGAGCACCCACTCTTATACCAGTCTCAGAGCTTTCTACTTGAAAACTGTCATAAGACACTTTTTCGATCAGCTGTTCCCTTTGCAGCTTCTGCAACTGCTCGCACGCAGCCTCTTGAATCTTTCGTGTTTTGTCTTCTGCCCTTCGTTTGGCTTCGCTCTCCTCAATCTTTTGAGCAAATAATTCCGCAGTAGCTGCAGCCCGTTCGGCGGCAGGATCCTGATACTGCTCATAGTTCTTTGGTTGACGCTGGTTTAGCTCGATTTTTGGCCTCTGATGTTCTCTTTTTTGAGCTGTGGCCTTCGGAGGCTTTGGTGTTTTCGGGGGTCTGTTGTGTGAAATCATGTGCTTTCGCAGTGATGATCCGTGGCTAAAGTGCTTATCACACAATTTGCAGCCATACGGCCTCTCACCCGTATGCGTATATTCATGGTGGCGAAGATATTGCGCTTTGCCAAACCGCTTGGGACAATAGCGACAGGCGAAATCCTTGATTTTATCATGAACAACCTTATAGTGGAGTTTCATATTGCCAATGTGGTTGAATCCACGCCCACAGCCTGGGCATATATGCTGGCCTTCCTTTTTAGTGAAGTTCACCTGCGGCGACCAGGAGGGTACAGAAACAGACGTAATTGGATTGACAGAGGTACCCGCTAATTGAGACATATCTACCCGCTCAACTCGATGTGAATTTTTCGGCCTAGCGGCAGATGCATCCACGGCTTTCGCATCTGCCGGTGCTGTAGACTCCTGGTTTAAATTTAATTCATTGCGATCAGCCTCATCGACTTGGGTTCTTTCATTAGATGCCTTGATTTCACGCTTTTCATGGATCTGCAGATGCTTGGTCAGTCTCTTTTCAAAAAGAAAGATTTTTCCACAGATCTTGCACTCACAGCAATTCTCGCCGGTGTGGAGTCTTTCGTGAACCTTACAGGCGTGCATTTTGCCAAAAGTCTTGCCGCAGTACTGACAAGCAAAGTTCTTGATCTTCATGTGGACTACCTTAACATGATTGGCTAGAGCTTGTTTATTGTGGGAGGCGTGATCACATTGGCGACACTGGAACTGTTTTTCCTTGGTATGCGTCAATATGTGCTTGTTCCACTCCTGTCGAGTTGTCTTTCCCACGCCACAGTAAGGGCAAACGTGGTTCTTAACGCCGGCATGTCGTAGTAGATGGTCTCTGAGTTCGCTGTTTATGTGGAATCGTTTGTTGCAGATGTTACAGGAAATGGGCAGCTCCTCGCCTGTATGCTTATACATGTGTTTTTTGAGCGCTGTTGGACAACGAAAGACCTTATCACAATCCGAGCACGGATGAACGGGGTTCTCAGGTTTGCATATGTTGTGAACCTTTTTCAGGTGATGTGTGAGCATTCGCGTTCGAGGAAAAGATTGGTCGCATCCCTCTACGGTGCAGGCGTGAAGCTCGCAGAGTTCCCGATGAGCATGATCAATATGGTGTCGAAGCCCTGCGGCAGTTGTAAAACCTTTCTTGCATGTTTCCACAGTGCATTGGAAAGGCAAGAGATCGTTGTGATGTTTCATATGCTCCTCGTAGCGAATTTCATTCCTGAATTGCTGATGGCAAATATGACAATCGATATGAAGTTCGCGCTTAGCCGCAGGAATACGCTTGGTATTTACTTTCCGTTTGGATAAGTTTACTTTATCTGTATCTACTTCAGAGCTAGATGAATTATTATAAAATGCAGCAATATTCGTATTCTTAATCTTTGTTTCCAAAACACGAGAAGTACTGCGTAAACGCGACAGAGGCATGGCATCATCGGAATCGCTATTATTCCCTACATCCACATCATCATTGTATTTATGTTCGCTTTCACTGAAGAGGTCCTTCTCCTGCTGATGCCCATTCGCTTCTTTGTCAACATTTTCTATCATTTTGAAAACCTCGTCCTCATTATCAATTATCTCTATTTTGGTATTAAGTAGTGGATCAAAGTTAATGCGTTCTTCATCCTCGATGGGTACGTCAATATCTTGTGGCACCTCAATGTCCTTATCCTGTAGCGCAACATTAATTACATCAATGTTGTCCACGTTCATAGCTTGGACAGTGCAATGATTATTGCCCAACATATCAATTAATTTGGCAATGGACTCTACGCATTGTTTCTGAAAATTATGCAAATCGTTTAGCCGGTTGTAGCAATTTGTACAAATGCATTTTGGAAAACCATCCTGTTGCTCCACCGAGAGCGAAGTGCACACACAGAACTTCTTAGCCAGGCCAGGAATCACGAACAGATTGTGGGCTTCAATCTTTTGCAATGTTGATAAACAAGTGCGACATATTGCATCTACGGAGACTTGGTTGCCCTCATCCATATTGTAAATGCAATTTATTCTTAATCCTCTCCTGCTCGTTTTTTTCCATACGAACTATGGACTAGCGGTAGTATTATGTATCGGATACTAACACGAGTACTCGTGTTTATGTTTGAGCCAAGCCCATCACTAAAATTGACTGCCTTTCATATGTATGCGTGCATGAGTAAATAAATAAGGGAGTATATAAATATTGGGTTATTAAGCAGACAACATACCCTATACACACGCATATTGTATGTACATAGTACTATATGCAAAAACATGAAATAAAACAAGACATGCTAAATATATTATATGAATTTCGTTATTCTAGTTAAGCAATATATGCTATGCAGTACATAGACAACAAAAATACAGAAGTATTTATAAATGTATGGTAAAATTAATATTGTGGTAGAATACGTTGAGTTACTGTGTTCATGTCACAATAAGCAATTATGGAGCAATTCGAGGGTATAGATAATTGAAGTACTTATAAACTGAGGCGCTGTAAAAAATTATAGCTATGTATATGTATGTAAAATATTGCTGGCTTTCGCAAGTGTCTCCCATTTTTGCTGGACTCGATTTACACATGATCTATTTTGAGTGCGTCCACGGTGAGTCCCTCGGCTTGAGCCTTTTGTGCATAGTAGCTGTCGTAGGATGTGGTCGCCTTCTCCATCTCCTGCTGCCTCTGTAGCTTGTTCAGCTGCTCACAAGCTGCCTCTTGGATTTTTCGCCTCTCGATGTCTGCCTTGCGCTTTGCCTCATTCTCCTCAATCTGATGAGCAAGCAGCTCAGCTGTAGCAGCAGCTCGCTCAGCGGCTGGATCCTGGTACTGCTCGTAGTTCCTTGGCTCGCGGTCAATCTCTCGGGATTCGATCTTATGGAAGGCAGGCGTCTGCACAGTTGTCTCCTTCTCCGGGTATACACGTCTATTAGGCTTGTCGTGTGTCTTAATATGCTTCTTCAGTGCCGTCTCCTGCCGGAAGTGTTTGCCGCATATCTTGCACTCGAACGGTTTCTCGCCGGTGTGGATCCATTCGTGATGCCGCAAGATTTGGGCCTTTGAGAAACGTTTGGGACAGAAGCGACAGGCGAAATCTTTCACCTTCTCGTGAATGATCTTGTAATGAAGTTTCATATTGCCAATATTGTTGAAGCCTCGACCACAACCGGGGCATATGTGCTGGCCCTCTTTCTTGGTGAAGTTGACTTGCGGCGACCACGATGGTACCGACACCGATGGTATGGGGTTGACAGCGGTTCCCGCCAACTGCGATATGTCCACACGCTGAACGCGCCGTGAGTTTTTAGGTTTAGCTGCAGCTGCTTCTGCTCCTGCTGCTGTCGCGGTCCCGCCGCTACACGCCTTCAGCAGATCGTCTGTCACATTGGGTGGCATCATTCCATCGGGCTGCATATGGCCGGGCAGTGTGACGCCAGGCAGCAAAATGTTGAGCGGACGGTTCGTTTCCATTGGCGGCAGATCGCGTTTCTCATGCGTCTTCAAATGCTTCGTGAGGCTCTTCTCGCACAGGAAGATCTTGCCACAGATCTTGCACTCGCAGCACTTCTCGCCCGTGTGCGTCCGCTCATGCACTTTGCAGGCGTGGGATTTCCCAAAGGTCTTGCCACAGTATTGGCAGGCAAAGTTTTTGATCTTCATGTGAACCACCTTGACGTGATTGGATAGAGCCTGTTTGTTGTGGGAGGCATGATCGCACTGGCGGCACTTGAACTTCTTCTCCTTGGTGTGCGTGAGAATGTGAGCGTTCCATTCCTGGCGTGTGGTTTTGCCCACGCCGCAGTAGGGACAGACGTGGTTCTTGATGCCCGCATGCCGCATCAAATGATCCCTGAGTGCGCTGTTGATCACGAAGCGCTTGCCGCATATGTTGCATGGATACGGAAGCTCCTCGCCCGTGTGCTTGTACATGTGCTTCTTGAGCGCCGTCGGGCAACGGAACACGGTGTTGCACTCTGTGCAGGGAAAGTCGCGCAATGGAGCCGCCGACTTGGAAATATTGTGCGCCTTCTTCATGTGGAAGGTGAGCAGGCGAATGCGTGGGAATGTCTTGCCGCAGCCCTCGACACTGCAGGCGTGCACTTCAGAGAGCTCGGTGTGCGCGTGGTCCACGTGTATGCGCAGTCCGTTGGCGGTGGTGAAGCCCTTCTTACAGGACTCAACCTTGCACTGGAATGGCAATAGATCGTTGTGGTACTTCATGTGCTCCTCATAACGAATTGCCTTCTTGAATTTCTGATGGCAAATGTGACAGTCGATGATGCGATGTAGGTGCCGCTCAGAAGCAGGAATGCGCTTGCGCTTTGGCTTCTCCTTCGAGCCTTGCCTTGTGTTTGAATCACCTTCATCACCTTCATAGTCCTCGTCTGAGCTGGAAGAGGAAGTGAAATCATTGTCTTCCCCGGCATCATCAGCAGCGTTCTTTTTGGGCTTCGACTTGGCTGCTCTGGTGCTCTTGGTTTTGCCTCGCATGCGCTGGGCTAGGGGAATGTCGTCGTCGCTGCTGTTTGGCTCAAAGTCTACATCCAGGTCGTTGTCGTTACCACTTTCGATGGAAGACGAGTCCTCATTAAACATGTTTTCTGGGATGGGCTCCTTGAATTCTTTTGTATCCTCTTTAACTTCCTTTTCCACCTCCTCGGCCTCCTTGTCCACATCTTCAAGCATTTTGAATACATCCTCTTCGTTTTCAATTAGTTCCATCTTATGGTTCAACAGTGGATCAAAGTTAATGTGCTCATCGTCCTCGGGTAAGTCATTTGCCGACACGCATGGATCCAGGACATCGAAGTTCGACTGACAAGTGAAGGCGTTGCTGGCGACCATATCCTGAAACTTTTGCACAGAGTCTACACACATCTTTTGAAATTCATGCAAATCGTTCAGCCGCGTGTAGCAACTGGTGCACAGGTTCTTCGGAAAGCCATCGTTTTGCTCCACAGACAGCGAGGTGCACAGACATAGCTTTTTGGCAAGGCCTGGCACCAGATACAAATCGTAGGCAGCATCGTTCTGCAGGAGATTCAGGCATATGCGACACAGCGTGTGTATGGAGTATGTCCTCGCCACGTCCATCGTGATTGATTAAATTGATGGTTTTTATTTAAATGTTCACAAAAGTCTTGGCTTTTCGGTTGATTCCAGCAACAAAAAAAAATAATATTGACACGAAAAAAATTGGTATACTCGTCAGCCAACTAGAACGAGTACGAGTATCGGTTACTCAAGCATCTACTCATTTACATATGTAGACATTATCGATGTTACGAAAGCGTGAAAACAAACGTTCGATATCGATATCGTTGAGCTGTGTTGTTGTTGCTCGTTTTTGTATGCGACCATCACTGCAAACAACGTTTTAAATACTTGTGCAAATCAAATTGGAAATTCCCATTGATTTTGAGATTTTCTGGAATGAGTACAACCACACCGTACTCTGTTCATTCAATATGCCGAGCTTGTCTAGAATATATCGATAGTACTGGGTATGACCTATTCTTATTGCCAGATCTTGCCAAGACTTTTACAGTATGCACGTCCTTGCTGTTGGATCCTCAAGACGGTTATCCAAGGAATCTATGCTCCAGCTGCTATACCAGAGTAAACGACCTCCATGATTTTCAGAAGCTCTGTGTGTCCTCGGTGCAGCGCTTTAAGGAAATGGTAGCTAGCAAACTTATTGTGATTGCGAATCCGATTGATATATTCGAGCCGCTGCCGGTGGGCAGCAACGAGGATGAACTGTTGGCCAAGGATGAGCAGGCAAACAATGAATATGATCCGTTAAGCCACAAACTGGAGTTGATCAACAATGAAGAGGATGTATTTAAAATGCTAGAGAACGTCGACAAGGATGCCGAAGATGCAACTGACCTAAAACATATCTTAAGTGACTGTTCATCCGAGTGCAGCCTCAGCGAGGATGATGTACCTTTGGCACATCGCCTGCTCGATCAGAACGGCGAAGCAGACAGTGAAGCAACCAGTGAGAAAATGACCAATTACAAAGCAAAACGAAGGCGTATTCCTGCTAACGAACGGCATCTTCGCCGCATCATCACCTGCCACGTCTGCCAGCAGAAATTCAAGAAGCAAGTCAACTATGATGAGCATATGAAACACCACAACGAACTTTTGCCCTTTCAGTGCCATGTGGAGCAGTGCCAGAAGGGATTTACCACAGCTGCCGCATTGCGTCTGCACGTGGACTACGCTCACACAAAGAGTGCCGCTGAGATCCCTTGCACCGTGGAGGGCTGTAAGCTAGTGTTTCCGCGCATGCGACTACTGACAATTCATCTCAAGAAGGTGCACAATATGTCGCGAACGAATGTGCCACGGGCGGAGCAGCTGTGCAGGGAGTGCGGTATGAAATTTCGTTGCCCGGTGGCCCTTAAGAAGCATATGTATAAACACACCGGCCAGCAGCTACCCTATCCCTGCAATATTTGCGGCAAGGGCTTCCACATCAACAGCGCTTTGAAGAATCACCTGCTGCGACACGCCGGCATCAAGAACTATGTGTGTCCCTACTGTGGTGTGGGAAAAACTACTCGGCAGGAGTGGAGCAAACATATTCTCACCCACACACAAGAGAAGATGTTCAAGTGCCAGATCTGCGACCATGCGACACACACAAAGCGGGCGCTGGACAACCATGTGAAGATTGTACACGAGAAGATCAGGAATTATGCATGCCAGTATTGTGGCAAGACCTTTGGCAAATCGCATGCATGCAAAATCCACGAGATGACCCACACGGGCGAGAAGCGTTGCGAGTGCAAGGTGTGTGGCAAGAAATTCTTGTACACCGAGAGCTTGACCAAGCACCTGAAGATCCATGAGAAGAGTGTAGAACGTGCCATCGAAACGTATCGTCAGCGTCAGGTGGAGCTCACCAGTCCCACAGCTGAACAGAGATGCACCGAATCTCAGGGCAAAGATGATGCCAATGCAGCTGACCAGCTCTTGAAGGTCTGTGCCGAATCTGTGGCTACCATTCCGCGAGATCCGAGGCGTGTCGAGCGCGTGGACATTTCGCAGCTGGCGGGCACAGTAGTGAATCCCATTCCCGCTGTCCTAGTTCCCTCCAATACGCCAACGCGTATCAACTTTGTGCAGAAGGAGGGCATGCACTTCTGCCCGGGCTGCAATCAGGGCTTCAACAATTTGGGTAATATGAAGCGGCATTATAAAAGCGTCCATGAGAAGGTGAAGGACTTTGAGTGCCGCTTCTGCGCACGGCGCTTCGCCAACTCGCAGTCTCTCAAGCAGCACGAGTGGATACACACAGGCGAAAAGCCGTATGCCTGCCCGACCTGTGGCACCCATTTTCGGCAGGAGGCTGCTCTGATCCGCCATCAAAAGGTGCACGAACAGAAGCCACTGAAGCCGGCTAAGAGTCCAAAGCAAATTACAGAAAAGTTTCGGCAAAAGGAGCTGCAAAGGTGCGAGAAGCGGCGCAACGTTGAGGCGCTGCGTCAGAAGATCGCCGAGGCAGCCAAAGAAGAGCTGCAGGAGTTGGCCAAGCAGCGGGAGCTGGAGAAGCAACAAAACACCTACGAACAGTATAAAGCGGCGGCTGCCGCTGCTGCTGAAAAGACTCGAGCCACAGACGAAATAGATCTGCCCAGCTGAGAAGCTGTGCTTCCACATTCCATTTGAAATGGAATATGTTATTGTTGGTTAATATTTAACTGCTAGTTAAGTGCAAAATAAATTTAAATGAAAACTACAGTTCATCTCAGTTTTTCAATTTTTTTTGTCTTTACTTTTTCTTGCTTGTTATTTTTATGAGATGTGGTTTTAAATGTGTTTTGTGGATTTTCCGACTGATGCGAGCTCCAATAGTTGAATACTTTTCTCCGAGCTCTCAAAAGCCGGCATGATACGTGATGATGAATGATGATGATGATGTTTTATGTTTGATATAAAAATGATAGAAAAACTTTTAAAAACTTCGGACAAATAGTTTAGCAAATTTTGGTTCTAAAGCAGTTTTTGAGCATTGGTAAAATTGTACAAAATTGGAAAGAGTTCAATGAACCATTTACGACGTGCAACTACTGCATAGCATTCTTATGATCTTAGGATGCCTCCGGCGTCTTCAAATTGTACTTGGACTTGATGTTGTTGAGCTCCTCTTGTTTCTTGTCCACGTCCACACGCTTGAAGGCCTTGTTGGACTGGTAGTAGAGAACGACGAGGTAGCGGTTGCACACATTGAAGCCGGACAGATGGTCGCATGCATTTTTGGCGTCGAAAATGTCTTCGTAGACAACGAACGCAGTGCCGCGTGTCTCCGGCGTATTGCCACTGTGAATGTACAGATGCAATTGTAATTAATTAATTAGTTCAATTAATTTGCAGTCAATTTACTTACACGCGTATCTGACGAATAGCACCAAATTTGCCAAATATATCGTACATTTCGTCTGATGTGATTTTGTATGGCAAATTACGCACATACAGCAGCCGATTCACCTCCGGCGGCAGCCGTATCTGTAATAATTGTTAATTCATATATTGTATCTCAATTATTGCTTTGTGTCTGCAATTCACTCACGTTGTTGCGCTTATTCATGTCTGGTCGCTGCTGCTCTTGAAATGCGACTGGCAGCAGAAAAACTTTCACTTAACCGTCTGGCTTGAGTCTGCTGCTTGTTGACCTCGGGATGAATGTCCTGAAACGTGGTCCTTTGTTTAAAATTTATTGGTCCGTCTGTCTGGCCTCAAACCCAAACAAATTGTGATTAAATTATGTTAGGCAATTACATCGTGTTAGTTAACATCGCAAGGAAGTGTTATTAACATAGCAACTATCATGTTATTAACAGCGTGAATTCTAGTATTTTCGTTAGAAATGTTGCCATTTATTGTATTGAGTGTAAATATTTCTTTTGTGAATATGTATATAAAATATTAGGATAGCCAAGGCAAACTTTGAGAACTACGCTTCAAATTTATAAACTATCTATTAAAGTTGTCATCGTTACTTTAACATTTCATCCACAATAGGTAGGCGCTGTTTTACAGCACTTCTTATCGGTATAGATGCGAATGTAACCCTAAATGCTCTTCGTCACTAAGTTGGTCACACTTAATCACCATAAAAAAATTTCATCTGGCAGAAAAGTGAAAAAGAGAAAATTAAGGGGCTTATCGAGTGTATCCAGCTAAATTAGTTTTAATTCACACCTAACACTATTGAAGGTAAGTTCTATCTGGTCAATTAGCGTTAAGCGAAAGCCAAATCTTGGCCATGCTTAACGACTACAAAGAACATGGCGGCAGCTAACAAGCCTTAAGTAGTTATTACATTATGTGTGTTTTTTCACGCTGTCTGTATAACTGAGTATGTGTGCGTGCAAGAGTGAGTACCTGAGTGTGCGTGTGTGTGCATGTATATGTTTGTTGGTGTGTGTGTGTGTATATAGAGAGATGGCCTCGGACAAAGTTCCTCGTACTACCCTTTAAGAGGGCGTTCAACTCGCTTAGAATGGGTGGGGTTGATTTAGACGGTATATCTAATTATTTTGCACGTCGCAGCAGCATCGCACATTAACGGCATCAAAATGACGTGGGAACCGCAACCAGAAGGTCTTCAGCAGATCATTGCGATCTTAAAAGAATCTCAGTCCCCAGACACAGCGACTCAAATGGCAGTCCAAATCGTAAGCAATCTATATATGTATATATATAGTGTGTGTGTGTTAGATATGTGTGTGCATAGTGTGCAGCATGTGTGAAGCCGTAAAACTTAATAAAAGCCA